AGCACAATAAAATTGGAAAAAAAGCAACACACAACGAACATATACAACATAGTGGTCAACTCAGAAATTATTCCATCTGGGTTAACTTGGTTCAGCAATGTTGTTCAAAAACCTAAATTTTGTTTGATAACCAAGGCATTTTCATCTCAAATTTTCTGTTCAAAAAACAATTTGTTCGACATGTGACATTTTCAAGAACTGACGTTGTACTGTATTATCATTTAATTTTAGAATTTTACAATATTTATAAAAATATTGTGTTACTAATATATATATATATATATATATATATATATATATATAAAATGGTAAATGCATTTTGGTACCCTTCTTTTCATTTCTCTTTAATACCTCATATTCATATGTTTGAGAACTCCTTAATGTAGGGAGCCATTATAAAATAACAATGCAACAAATATACATTACATACATAATTACAAATATACATACATACACACAAATATTTTTATGCATGCATACTGTAAATGCACCATAGATATTAACTCAAACATATACTCATGCTCACACAGACCCACCAGAAAAAAAATTCACTGTTAATAACTCATTCTCAAATTGCACCCCTTAAAAATCAAATTGTCCCACTGGAAATGATGGGGTTAGAGCAAATTGTACTGCAGACAACATCAAGACTCACACCATGGGGAACAAAGATGATCCTAGATGGTAGCTGATGACCTCACCTCACCTTAACGTAAAGGTAGTAATCTATTTTAAGTATCATTTTTATGTCATATTATATTGTTATATATATATATATATGTTTTACATTGTTACATTTAATAAAAATGATTAATGCATTTTGGCCTCCTTCTTTTCAATTCCCTTTAATACCTCATATTCATATGTTAAGAGAGCCCCCCTTTGAGGTAGGGAGCCATTCAAATGTTAAGGGAGCCCCCCTTGATGTAGGGGAGCCATTCAAATGTTAAGGGAGCCCTCCTTGATGTAGGGGAGCCATTCATATGTTAAGGGAGATAACCCCACCCCTTGATGTAGGGGAGCCATTCATATGTTAAGGGAGATAACCCCACCCCTTGATGTAGGGGAGCCATTCATATGTTAAGGGAGATAACCCCACCCCTTGATGTAGGGGAGCCATTCAAATGTTAAGGGAGCCCCCCTTGATGTAGGGGAGCCATTCATATGTTAAGGGAGATAACCCCCACCCCTTGATGTAGGGGAGCCATTCATATGTTAAGGGAGACACCCCCACCCCTTGATGTAGGGGAGCCATTATACAATAACAACCCAACAAAATAAAAAAACTAGAAAAGAATATTAGCAAAACTCAGGCTTATAAAATCTGCTTTAAAAAATTTTACTGCATCAAAAAATTTTAGAATTTGGCTGCCTTTTATTTCTTCTTTAGTTTTTCTCACAGAACTATATTCGGGTGAATCATAAATAATTTCCATTTTTGGAAGCCAATTACAATGAACGTATCATCTTAACTAGCCAATGAGAAATGTGTTACTGACAACAATATTCAATGAAAATGCAGTGGATTTGATAAGGATAAAACTCTACAACTGACTCCAAAACTGAGCTCCATGGAAAAAAAGGTAATTGTTGTGCATGTTGTTGAATTGTTAGGGTATTATTCCTTTAGAGTTCTTAAAACATAATGCAAAATTAAATGCACATTTATATGTCCAGCAGCTGCAATATGTCGATTAAAGTTTGGTAGAAAAGTAAACTGCACCTGTTAATAAGAAAAATGTTATTATCCTACATGACAATGCAAGGCAGTATGCAGTAAAAGTATAACACAAGGAAACATTTGGGAATTCAGTTGGTGCACCCTGTGTTACCTGCCAATTTCACCTGATCTTGCATCAAGTGATAATTAGCTTTTTTGATCATTGCAAAATACTTTAATGAGGAAGAGTTTCTCTAATGAAAACCAGAATCAAAAGTCAATTGGAAATATTTTCTCATCAAAATCTATGGAATTTTACTGAAAAGGTATTGAAGAACTACCTGTTAATTGCATTTGATTAACTGATTGATTCATTTTCTATGTTATTTATTAATGCAGGTTATCTAAAACCAGAAAATATTTTTAGATTGTAAGAATTTTTTTTTTTACTTCAGACAATAATGATTTACTGATACATGTCTTAATAATTAACCCATAAATGGGGGAGAAATGGATTCATACCTTTCTCAAGTGTATTTGCATGTAAATGAGTATAACAAACCCAAATGGAATTGGAACTTGTCTCTCCAGTTAACAATTTGTTATGGTGTAGAACCATAGAAAGATAACACGGACTCGGATATAAGGTTAAATAGTATATTCTCGGAAACATAGTACAAAGGTAAATGTGGACTGGAGAGTACTTTCTCTCACTGGTGTCCTGACTGACTGACTCACTCACTCACTCGGTGTCTACTACTCGGTGACCCTCACTTGGTGACTCCCTTTACTCAGAGTTGGTAGCCATATTATATAGGTGTGGAAGAGTCCATTTGTAGGTAGGTCCCCACAATACAATTCTAAGTCATTTTCCATTACACCATCCATATGTCCAAGTTTACAGCACTTGGAAATCTCATGCAGTCATCCATCTAGGTTTTAACGAGGCCTAATGTTGCTTAACTTTGGTGATTGTACAAGAACTAGTATTTCATTATGATATGGCCATAAGCCAATTAAATGCCAAGAAGTGATGGCAAATAATAGTGAATATAAAATTGAATAAAATGTAGTTGCACTTTATTTTTTGAAAAATAAGGTTGATAAAGAAAAGTGGAAATTATTTATGACTCACCTAAATATCTCAAACAATGTACATAAATTCTATTTTTAAAAACTTTCTTAGAAATCTAATATTGACAGATTATTTATATGCTTCCTTTATCTTCCAAAGTTATGCAGAAAAATGAATACTGAGTTAAAACTCAGGGAAAATTTGGAACTAAATATTGTAATGAAAATGCAGCCAACTTGAACCTTTGCACCTGCAAAAAAACAGTCTGTCAAAAGATGGTTTTTCCCTTGACACTGCTATAATTTTATTATATTATTTATTTAACTTAATGAACTTTAATCAACTGCCAAGTGATTCAAACTTGATAAGTTTGTAAATAATAAGATTTCCTTATAGTTGGTTTATATATTTTAATAATTTGATGAATGTTTATAACTCTATGAATGAAAAAGTGTTTTAAAAAGCAATGATTAGAATTTTAATAAAACTTAAACATATAGTTTGTTCATGAGAACTGACAACAAAAATAATAAACACTATTCATTTATCAGATTCTTTATTTACACTATGTTATTATATTATTTATTGAAATGTTTGGCAAAACATTGACTAACTGCCAATTGATTCAAACTTTATAAAATGGTTAATAATAAAGATTTCCTTATTGTTGGTTTACATATTTTAATAACTTAGAAAATGCTTATAAATTTATGAATAAAATTTTTCATATTTATTTCTTTATAAATTGGCAAATGATAAATATTGCATTGCATTAGTTTTAATCATATAAGTTTTTAGAATGTTGTAAATATAAAATTATTCTTGTAAATAAACAAGCTAATAAATAAATAGTGCTTAATATTTTTGTTGTAAATTTTCAAGTACAAAAAAAAATGTATAAATTCACTTTCATCAATTTTTTTTCTTTTATTCCAATTCTAATCATTGTTTTTAAAACAATAAACATTGCTGAGGTTCTGAAAATGCTTATGGGCTTTTGTACCAGTTATGTTGGATTGATTACCAATAAGATACTGAGGATCATATTAGATTTAATGGTTGAGCTGTAGATTATAGAGAGTTTTATCAAGTAGATGTTGCCATTAAACAGTTATATGAATAACAATGACAACGATGAGAAACAGACCTACATATGTCATTGTGGAGGTTGATGCAAAATGTTGGTTTTACATTCAAAATGAATGAACACTGAGCAAACATTATTTTGGAAGGTTTATTTTTTTTTTTTTATGAATACATATTGCATCCTTCTCATGCAAGTTTGTAGCTTGTGGTATGTTGGAACAGAGAGAGAGAGAGAGAGAGCAAGACCCCACCCTTTTTTGTAGCTGGTGGTCCTTCTGATTAGTTCATTGGTGATTAAAGAGATGTGGACTAGACTGTCCTGCTTTATGACAAAATGGTAGAGAGAACTGTCTTCAAAGCCCTCTTTTTCTAGGTTTCATTGAGTTAATGGCTAAGGAATGCATTGAGTGTAGCATTGTCCTTTGCTTGACACAAAAAATGATAGCTGATATTACTGACCTCCTTAAATAAGGATGGTCCCAATCAAAAATGAGACATATAATAACCCTATACTTAAGAGAAAGGAATAAATTCATAAATTTAGTTTATTTTGAGCTTAAAATTTAAGAAAAAGGTATTTTATCTAAAGTGGACTTTTAATATAGATCATGCCATATTGAGTTTTGAATGTCAGACATGAAGGCCATCAGTGAAACATTATATAACTTATCAATGGAATTATATGTGAATTCAATCAAAAAAAAATGAAATCAGAAAAATAAATTGCAATGATAAAATGTAGCCAATAGTGTACAACATCTTATCAAATGGGATCTTTGTGTATTCACATTGACAGAAGAGTAGAAAAAATTTTCTGAAAATTATAAATTTATTGTTAAACCTTAAAAACAAAAAACACTGTACTGAAGAAAAAGAAAAACATTAATGTGTAGAAAGACTGTGAAAACAATAACAAAAAATAAGGCAACCAAATCATTTTTAAATATTAAATGTAAAAAAAAATCAAATAAACACATTTAACTAAGGGAGAAAACTCTATTTACTGTTAGCTTGAGTTATCTCATCATGTCAGCAGAGGGCGTAATTTACCTGTAACTATAGTAACCTTAAAGTGTTTTTATTATGGTAACTTTGCAATTGCAAGATACAACGTTAGTTTTTTCTTTAACACGTCGTAAACAAGTGCTTTAAAGTTAAAACAAAAAGATGGACACAAACATGAAGCCGAAGGAATCAGGTAGCCATACATTATTAATACTGTGACTTTTTAATTTATTTTAGTTGATGGGTTCATAATTCATTTATTCATTAGTTTAAAATTTTATGATATACTTTTTTCGTCTTTCTCTTTTTGAAATGACAAAAATGTATATATATATATATATTTGTTACTATAGAAATCAGTATTTCTTTTTTAGAATCTATAAAAAATATTTAAAGAATTTAAAACATACCTAATTTACTAGGAAAATAATCTTTCCCCAGTAAAGATGAATTAATTTCAATTTGTTTCTCGCATTCCTTTTTACTTCCTTTTACAAAAAACGTTCTGTGTGAATGTCACCACAAATGAAACATTTTTTTACCAACAGAATATATAAACTGGGAGTATTCAAACATTGTAATGTTTGGAATATGGATTTTTTACATTATCTTTAAAAATACCACTCAAACATTATCTTATTTTAATTTTGAAAGTAATATTAAAGACTTTAAATTATTCACATCAATACTGCTGAGTGAACAATTTACCTTAACAGAAATAAGAAGAGAGATATTTTGATCGCTGTAAGGCTAGAATGCCAGTTATGTGCTATACTGTTTTTTGAATTGAACTCTGAAAATACTCTCCTAGAAATGATGATGTTGTCTGCTTCATGTTAACTTCTCTTTTAACATCAGAAAAAATTTTACATTTATGCAAGTGTTATTTGAAAATATGCAGTTGATAATATGAGAGATAAGGAGTGAAAGAGAGTTGCTTGTTGTGGCAAATAGGAAAGAAAGTAGACTTTAATGGTTGCTTGTTAGGTAAATAGGATGGCAGGTAAAGTTGCATGTTGAAGTAATTATGAGAGAAGGTAAATTTTAATGGGTTGCTTGTTGGGATAAATTGAAGGAAGGTAGATTTTAATGGGTTACTTGTTGAATGTAACTATTTACATTCAACAAGTAACCCATTAAAATCTACCTAGGCAAGTAGGAGGGCAGGTAGAGTTGCTTGTTGAGGTAATTATGAGGGAAGGTAGATTTTAATGAGGGATTTGTTGGGGTAAATTGGAGGGAAGGTAGATTTTAATTGGTTGTTTGTTGGGGTAAATAGGAGGGAAGGTAGACTTTAATGAGTTGCTTTGTACTGCAATGATTAGTGTGTATGTTTCATAAGTCATTGATCCTAAGTTTAATTCTATTCACTCTCCAAAAATGGCTTTCTATTTGGAATTAAAATCCTATATATTCTTTATATATCCCAGATATTAATAAAAAATGCATCTAAAATGAAAATACTTATTGCTATTACATACATACACACACTTATTTTTAAAATTTTGACCTAAAAACAGAAAAATAAGTTTTCAAAATTTATATAATAGAAACAAAATGGAATTAAATAAAAAAAAATACAGTAATCCCTCAATTAATGCACATTCAATTAATGCGTATTTGATTGGTAGTGCAATAAAAATTTTTGTACCAAAATTTGATTAGTGCATGAATAATACTCGATAAGTGACTAAAACATTCTCCAGTTTAACCATAGTATTTGAAAATTAATTTTTTTATAAGTACCGATTAATTAAAATTTTTCAAAAATTTAAAAATGAGTAACTATTTTTTTTGTGAATTATTACTTTATCTAAATAAGTAATGTTTAAAAAATAGACAGTAGTATTAAAAAAAATAGACAGATAGATAATTTTTATAATATAAGCTGATAATAAAAATGAATATTTGAATATTTGTCTCTATTAAAATTTTTTAAATATTTTCATTTTTTTTTTTCACGTTTATTTTGAAGGAAATTTCTGAATTTTTTGTTAAAAAATGGATGATTTAATTAAATACAGAAATTTAGATTTATTAAAAAATATTGAAATAAAAAACATGTATGCATTTACTATGGAAAGATTGTAAATTAAATTTTCAGGTTAAAATACTAATGATTATATGTGTGGAAAATTTCCAAAAATAAAAAATATACAGTAACATAGGGTTCTTTTAAAAAAAAATTAAATTAAAACTATTAGACAAGGCACCACAGTCACCTGATTTAAACCCTAGTGAAAATATATGGAATTTAATGAAAAGGAAAATGGAAGGCAAAGTCTTTAAAAATGAATTAAAAGAAGAAATGATGGATATTTGGAATAACATTAATAAAATTTAATTTCTAAGTTAATTATATGAAGGACAGAAGAATAGCATGTGACAAACCACTCTAAGTTTTTCATAAAAAATCAGATTAATAACAATGTTATGAATTCATAGCATTTTTATTGTATCTTCTTATATGTAGCCACACTAATCAAGGGATCCCTGTATTAAATATTATGATGATGATGATGATGACAGTGGTTTTTATAGATTAAAAATTTTGTACAAGATAAAAATATAGAATAATTCTATATTCTTCCATTGATTATGACACAGTTGTATGAGATTTTATATAAATGTGTGTGTGTGTGTGTGTGTGTGATTGTTTCAAAATACAAGAATCCAATTTCAAATCCACTTTTTTCATGTCCTCGTAACATAGTTATGTACTCTGATTATGATTTGAATCTTTTAACATAAAGCAAATTTACTTGCTTCTAATTTTCTATGTAATGTCAATGTTCTCCACTTGAGAAGCAGAGATGATGACTTTGGTTGATGAAAATCCACCCACCAACAAACAACTTGAATTGGTCAAGCAGAAACAAGGTGAGAACTCAAAAATCAATAAATATTTGTAATTGTAAACCCCAAGTTATTTTAATCTAATCTCGAAAATGAAGAAAAATCATTTTCCAAAATCATTTTATCTATTTTGTAATTATCTTTCACTAAACAAAGGTAAAAAATTATTTCTATTAACACTTCTGTTTCCAGGGACAGGCCATACATAATGTCAGTTTTGTAAAACTGTATAGGTTTTACAAAACTTACAGTGCCTGATGTCAGTGTATTTATTCACTTTCAAAACACTATGAAATAAAGTGTCTCCACTTCCTTGTGGGTGACAAATTATTTTCCAACCTGCAACTCCTCTCTCACATATGAAATGTCGCAATCCTTTCACTGCTCTATCGCTAATTCGCAGGAAAATACTCAGATGAACTATATTCTTTAATTTCACCAATTCTAATTATCTCAGCTAGGATTCATCACACTATGCACATTGTAATTAACTATACTTAATTCTTACAGTTTTAATCTGTTCAAATCTCGAGTTAACCATTATCTTCCCCCAATTATCCACATAAACTGTGCCTTTTACTCTGTAACTGTCTACCTCGAGTGGCTTTGTACAGAGTAAACATCATTGTCAAAAACATCAGTTCCTCCAGTTCTAACCTTCACAGATGCATAACGGACCACCCTCATTCCCTCTGTATTCCACCGGTGACAAGTAAGTTCCACTCAATCACCTTCTCGTTATGAACCCTCTGAGGAAGCCACTCTCAAGAGGATGTTTTCCCAATCACTATAATCATAACCAGTTGAGGTTTAACTGTTGTCTTCTGCACATATCTGCATAAACTATGCTTCTTACTTTGTAAGCTTCTATTTCGAGTGGCTCCTGGACGACCTTGTACAGGGTGAACCTTACTGTAAAAACTGTCATCTCCTATTGTTTGTGTTATTGTAGAGTAAGTGGCCATAGTTAAGTATAATTAACACAAATGCCCAATGAAACAAGAAACAATAACATGAAAAGAAAAAAAAACAGTAAAATAATACAAAGCAAAATAATAAATATGAAAAACTAAACCAGGCAGAGCAACAGTAATAAGGAAAAAAGGTCACAAAGTAAGAATGGTGTTAATACACAAAAGGGATACAGACAAGTGACTATAGCATTCTGACTTCAAGGCTAGAAAGAACAAAAATATAGCAGATGAGACTAAGAATTGGTCTGTCTTAATGGCTAGAAAGAAATACCAGCATGCATCTGTACAATTTGTTTATAAATTAAAGGAGGGGGACATTTTTGTCGTCATGCCAACAGTGATTCAAAACAAAAGTTATAAAATTACTAGCACTTAGTGTTATTTCCAAACTAGCATAGACATATATATATATATATATATATATATATATATATATATATATATATAGTATATAGTGTGACTTGTTTTGTGATGCATTTTTCTTATATCATGTATTGAGAATACCATTTAGCTTAATCTGTACTGCAGAGTGTTTGCTCAAAACTAAAATGATGGTGCCTATGAGAAATCAGCATCTTTATAAACATTTATTGGTGAGAAGTAAGTTCCATTCGAGCAGCTTCTTTCCACAAACTGCTACTTTGTGGAATCATCTCCTAAGAGGATACTTCTCTGATCACTACACTCTTAACCTGTTCAAGACTAGGGTCAGCTGTTATCTTCCTCACATATTCCCATAAACTGTGCTTTTTACTCTGTAACCCTCTACCTTGAGTGGTTATTTGACCTTTTGTATAGGGTGAATGCAATTGTAAAAAAATAAAATCTCCCCAGGTTTGGATTTGTGATCCATTATTTTCTTATTTGCATAAATGATGAGTAGATGCTGGAGTCTTCAGGCAAAATGATTAATCTGGGACAAAAAAAGAAAGAAAACTTGTCGAAATATTCCTCTGATAATATTAACCCAAAAAGACTAAGCAAATAGTTGTGCGCTTGCATGTGTTTGAAACAAATTCATTGTCAGTGATTTACTCTCTGATTGTTCACATCATGAAACTATCAATATAAAAAGATCTTCAAGTGGAAATAATGTGGTACATAAAGATATCAATAATTCCAGTTGTGGTTGGGGCCCCAGGTTTTATTGAAAAATGTTCTGATAGACCCACTAAAGGGATCCCTGGCAGTCCATACCTTAAAGAAATACAAAGAAATTATTCTCACAAGCAGAGCTCGTACCCTATGAAGGGCTTTACCTATGTAAAATATGTGCGTTTTAGGTTGTTTTATTTTTATTTTTTTTACACAAATGTGTAGTGGAAAATGTCATGAGACCATTTTTGACCTTAGGTCTCTGGTTGGGACCCAAAAGAAAATCTGTATACAACAGAAATCAAAGGAAATAATAATAAATACTAATACTATTAATAATAATAATAATAAATGCCCTGATGATGCACAAGGTTGTCTCATGGCTTCTGATCTTAAATGATTGAAGGTGTTAACATGTACATAGATTGTCTTACCAAATTAAGATGGGCTACAGTACTGTGCCGAGAGATATGCATCGGAGGCAAATATGTATATGGTGACAGGTTTTGATAAAAGCAGCCTATAATCTTACAGGTTGGTTCCTGATCTTCAGGCTGGGTAATCCAATTTACTCAGACAGTCTATGAGTCAGAATGTTCCCAAATATCTGGATGTGACTCCCAAGTCGTCTTGGCTGCCTTATCCTTTAAACTTTAACAAAGAAAAAACCAATCTCTTCACACCCAGCCTTGATACTCTCCTACTACTCTGACTTGTGAACAGAGATGCACAGTGTGTCAAGTCCCTAGAGGATATGACCAACTAGTTATGGTAAGGCTATTCACAAATCTTTGGTACAGGAACAGGATATTTACTGTAGCCCCCCACACACACACACACACACACTTAAGGAAGCTTAGATATGTTTAGTCCATTTTACTGGGATAAGCAGTTTAAACTTTTTGACTGCTTTTTTAAATGAACACTTTTCCTTTCAAGAGAATTTGTCTATATTTCACAGTGGATAAAGGCGTTGGTTAGATCCAGTGACAGGACCCAAAGAGTGTAAGTTCAATACCCGGTTAAGGCAGTGGAGAACTTTCAGAGGGAAATTAACAGGAGATAACTGATAACCGACATCCATTAAACTTGGCATGTGGAACTAGAACAGTCTACCCCAGTGAGTGAAATAAAGGGTTCAGTTCGACATTCCAACCACCTGAAGAAGGCTGGAGCATACAACAGCCAAAACGTTGTAATAAATATGGTAACAAAGATGAGGACAATAGTTCGAATAATGTAAATAATGTTCAAGAGAAATGTGCATTATAAAAATTAACATTAACTGCTTATATCATTTTCCTCCTAGCACTAATTTTTTTTGTGGGGGGAGCAGTTTGACATGACGTAATGTAATGGCTAGCAAATTTGTCTCAATACAACTGAATTGTGAGTTCTATCCTCCCAGAGTGCTCCATACTTTTGGCCTTGTGCCTCATCTAAAATATGTTTAGAAAATGGAGCACTTTCATGTGGCGTTTCATGTGGAAAAACACTAGATCAATTATGACTGAGTAGTGAGTCTGGGTGCTCCACATTTCTGACCTTGTGCCACATCTAAGCTATGCTTAGAAAATCATTTGGGGCACTTTGATGTGATGTAAGGTTTAGCAAGCTTGTATTGTTAGATTAATTATAACTGAATATTGAGTTTGATCCTCACTGTATGCCCCATACTTTTGGCCTTGTGCCACATCTAAGCTATGCTTAGAAAATCACCAAAGCACTAATTTTTTATTACAGTATAAGCAAAATAGCTAATTAAATCATCACTTTTACTGATACATTACTAAGCTGTTCTACAAATACAATTTAATCTCTGACTTAAGCAATTTGCCAACATCGAGCTGAATATATCAATTTTTTTTTTATTTATTTTTTATTTTATTTATTTATTTGATTTTGGCAGTTACAACATCAGTACTATTTCTTTATTATATGTATATATCCAGTAATTCATTTTTACTTATTAATATAATGTTCATTTTTCAGTACAATTATCATTTTTACAAAAAGACAGCTTTATTTTTATTTACAGATGACAAAAAGCTCACTCAGCGGGGTCAAGACAAGTCAAGTGCTCAGGTTCACTTTGCAACAAGTTTGTATCCCATTTTTCTTATTCATTTTATTGTCTGAGAATATCAAAGCATAAGATTCTTTAAAACATCACAAAACCGTATTGAATCAAAAAGCATAAAAATCCTCTTCTCTTCTGTTTGTTTCCTTTGTAGTAAAAGATTTAAAATAGAGAATTGCAGCCATGTCCTCACTTCCCAGTCTACACGGCCTTGTGGGTGATGAATTATTTTCCAACCTGCAGCCCCATTCCCGCTAGCAAAACATTGCCAGCCTCTCACTCCTCTATTGATATTTCCATGTCAAATGTTTAAACAAACTAGATTCTTTAATTTCACCTGTTCAGACCTTCACAGCTTGGACCCGCCATGCCATATACACAGGGTCAAATCATCCTTATTCCCTTTGTATTCCATTGGTAAGGAAGAAGTTCCACTCAGACAGCTTCTTCCTCAGAACTGATATTTTGTGGAACAGACTCTTAAGTGTATGCTTTCTTGATCGCTACAATCTTAACTTCTAATTAGGACTCCAGATTCAAACAGGCCAGATTCATCTACTATGTCCCAGGCAAGGACATATTCCATGATGGGGAGACAGCAAGTCTTGGGTTTTCCCAAATTGAGGACTGTGAACTAGAGTTTATTTCTATGTATGGGAAATATATATTTCCAAAGGAAATAATACCATAGACTAATAAGCTGCTTGGGAGGCAGATTTAGCCTCTGCCCAATCTGAGTTGGGGAGCTCTCTAAGGAAAGCAACTTCTCTGGCTGCTGTAAAGAAACTGAATGTCTGGCCACTCTCATCACTGTATGATGTGACATCATGTGATGCATTTGACTTATCTCTACCAAAGTGAGACTGATATTAGAGGAAGAAAAATACTTCACAGATGGAATGAATACATTGGAGAAGTCTTCCATGATAAAAGAGGACAACCAGCAATACACGGAAATATCCAAGGACCAGAAATATTAAAATCTGAAATGAAATCAACACTAGCCAAATTGAACAAGAACTATGCAGCAGGACCAGATGGAATTATAATAGAGATTCCAGAAGCTTTAGATGATTTCAACATTGACAAAATAACAGACATAATAAATGAAATTTACAACAATCGGAGTATTCCAGTAGGCCTAAATAGCTCCCTTTTCATATTGCCGTCTACGAAGCAAATGAATGCGAACTCCATTGAACAGTTTAATGAGACACAAAACAAAACATTATCTGGATTCTGACAAATAGAACAGGCAGCAAAATTAGACCAGAAACAGAAGAGTGAGGCTTTGTTAAAGATGTCAGAACAAGGAGTATATCAGAAAGGGAAATACAAAGGTGAAGGTATATATACCTATATTTCATGGTTTATGCAAATGTGTCTGGCAAGATACGTGGCAAATAACTGCTAGAACTACTGGGTAAGCTTGATACATATTTAGGAAAGATATTAGAATCATTCAGAATTTATACTTGAAGTAAACTGCCTACATGAGAATAGAAAATAAATTCAGTAAATAGACAAAAATTAAAGGGGACATATGACAAGGATGTGTCTTCTCACCAGACTTATTCAACCTTTACAGTGAAGCAATCCTGGCAGGATTCATTATTGGAAGCCACATTCTTAATAACAGAAGATATGCAGATGACAGTGTTGGTAACAGACACAGAAAGGAAGCCATGGGAACTCTTACAGAAGGCAGTAAATAAAAGCAAAAAGAAAGAACTAAACATCAATTGTAAAAAAATAGAATGCATAATTGTCAGCAAAAGAAGCAGCCCAACATGCAAATTACAAATTTGACATGCCAAAATTAAATAGGTGCAAAAACTTAACTATCTAGAAAGTGTTTTAACAGAGAATAAAAAATGTGATACTAAAATCCAAAGGTACATTGAGATAGTGAAAGAGGACATCCAAAAGTTAAGCAAAGTATTAAAAAAAGAGGAAAATTTCATTGGAATCAAAGAAAAGGGTATTGAACTGTTATGTAATATCAGTACTTCTATATGGCAGTGAATGATGGACCGTCTCATCAGAGATGGCAAAGAGACATGAGGCAACAGAAATGTGGTTCTACAGAAGGATGCTGAGAATAGTATGGACTGAACATATGAGCAATAATGAAGATTTAGAGAAAACGGAAACACAGAAGACACTTATAGTTAACATCAGGAGTTTGTTGAAATCTCTAGGGCACATAATGAGGAAAGAGGGCTTGGAAAATTTAACACTCACAGGACATATTGAAGGCAAGAAGGACAGAGGAAAGAAACATATCCTAATGAATTTGTGTAAATGGTTGCTAGAACAGGGATTAGGAAATATAGCAAAAAGAAAAACTTTACTAAGGGCTACAAATGACAGGAAGTGATGGAGAGCCATGATTGCCAATGTCTTGAAGGGACATGATACATAGAAGAAGATGTATTGATAATATAAAAGGTGATTAGTTCATTAAAAATTTCTGTTATAGTCGTTTTTACTTTTTTTTACCTGAAAGATTTCCGCCAGTTTGTAATTCAATTTAGCATTCACAAAAACAGTACATAGGTACATTACTAAGTCTGTAGACTAATCTAATCTATATATAAAATTCTGTGACTTCCATTAGTTTGTCTGTCACACCCTCTAAAATAGCCATACATCAACCAATTGAAACCAAATTTTGTTGGCAAATGCAAACAAGGTAAGAGTGTATAAAGTACAGTTAGTTTTACTAGGATGTGTAGCTTAGTACAATAAATTTTCATTAATTTTTTGGAAAGAAGTAAAAGTTTTATTATTTAACATACAAAATACTCCCATTATTTTAAAAATAATTTAATGATTAAAATAACAAATTCTTATTTAATAAAAATGCAATATTTTTTGCATATCTTTTCTTTAAGTTTTTATATACAAGAATCCAGTTTCCGGTTTGCATTGCATTTGTAAGAACTATACAGAAATCACAAAGCCAAATTTTAAAAAAAAAGCTTGAATTTGGCTCCAGAAAGAAATCTTTATGCATGGCCAGTTGTTTGTTGCATGCTCAAGAGTAAGAAATTATAACAATTTTTTTCTTCACTTTTAAAAAGGAAAAAATAAATTTTCTTAAAAAATATTGTTTACCATGAAGTCCTATAAAATTGAATTAAATTAAAGAAATTATTAAACTGCAAAGTAAGGTTTTTGTCAAAGTATTTTTTCAAACAAACCAGCTTCTTCAAGTTTCATCAATTGGTTTGTGAAATTGAATAAAACATAGAGTTTGTAAATATATAACTTCAATGATACTAAATACTGTGAGGATTTCAATATGCATCAGCATGTCGCAAAAAATTCTAGTGAGAAAAATGCTTTTATTTTAGATAACAAATATTACTTTTCAACAGAATCTCTTTCCCTGTCAATGCATTTCACCAAATGATTAATCACATGGCTTGAATATTATGCAAGGTAAATTTCAGGTTTAATTTAGCTAATAAGTACATCTTAAGCTTCAGACTGATTAATCCAGCCCTGTAATTATTCATTCCTGATTTTTCTTTCTCTAGAAACTATGAACTATGCCAAGAATCCTTATAAAATGCCAAGTGACACAGACATTTTTGAATTACGTGAAAAGGAAAGAATTGCCAAGAAAGTGGTATGAACAGCTTTACTCTACTTCATAAATTTATGCAGCTTTCCTCAATTTAATTTTCTTAAACATTTAGAATATCAAACTGTTTGATTTATTTGTGATAATTAATAATTAACTAATAGATTAAATAATAATAAGTTCTAGTATTACTGAAAGTAGATAGTCATTTAGTCTTTGCTTATGAAGATTTGCCTATCGCCCGGTTCACAATAGATTAAATAATAATAAGTTCTAGTATTACAGAAAGTAGATAGTCATTTATCTTTGCTTATGAAGATCTGCCTATTGCCCGGTTCACACTCCTCCTTGGTCTTTTTTTTTCATAGTAGAGATTAATCCTTTATTTTCTGTTTAAGATTGGGCTTCTGGTTTCTTCTAAAGTTTACTTCAACTCTCTACTTTTGCTGTGTTCAAGGTGGTAAACCATCCCAATTCTCTATGTGATATTTTGATAAAAAGCAAGTTCCATTCAGACAATTTCTTTACCAGAACTGTTATTTTGTAGAACAAACTCCTGAGAGAATGCTTCCTTGACAACTACAAATCTTTGTCTCTTTAAGTCCAGGGTCAACCAATATCTATCCTATTTGTACTCATAATGCTCTTAGATTCCCTTTCCTTACAATCTCCTTCAGTAATCCTCCACCTTCAGTGGCTCTTGGGCCTTGTATTGGGTGAACTATCAATAAAAAATAAAGAAAACCAATGGGATTCAAGCACTGCAGTACTAATAGAAGAAGTGTGTAGACCCCAAGGGGGACTATGTTGAAAAATAAACCTCATTTGGTCACATACCATGAGAGTATCTTGGTCAGCCTATGAACTTTTCAGCTGATTCTCTTATATATTACATCCACTCTTCAGTGTAGAGACAAGATAAATTAAATTTTAATTTTATATATTGCTAATAATGCTCTGTTTTGATACTGAGCTCTATAATTGCAAAGATCATTTGCCCTAAAAATGTTATCTTCCAGAAAAACCATTGACAACTATTTTTTTTTTTTTTTGTAAGAATCATGTTGTTTGGATATTGACTGTGGAATTTACCTAATGAGAAATATAATTTAATGCATCTAATACCAGCAAAGACATTTAAACATTAGGTAATATTTGTGCAACTGCTTTTGAAGAAGTAAGTCACACTTAACTTCTTTGACAATTATCATTGAAGGTTTTTCAAAAAATTTAAAAAAATACCTAAAATTGACTCTTCCTTGGTAAATAAAAGGTTTTATTAAATATTACAAGTTAAAAAATTCTCATATATGGTCAGATTAATAATAAAAAATACTGTACACGAAAAACTAAAAATATTTTCATATTTTTATAGTAAGAAACTAATTTGATAATTTTTAATAGTTATCATTATTGTTTATTTAATAGACTTTAAAATCTTATAATGTAAATATTAAGAGCACAATTTTCAAGCCTTTGCAATCAGACATTTTCTTAACCAGTATCATGTATTTCTTTTCTTTTTTTTAAGTAATAATTTATTTAGTAATTTAATTAAGTTTCACAATAAATTAGGTAATCTGAATATGTTTGCTTAATTTTCCCATTATAGCAAATTTGGTGTTTGTTATTCAAGACAGAATTCTTAAATTCAATCTTTCACTCTATTTTGATTAAATATTGATTCATTTTTTCTAGCAAATTATTATAGTAGCAGTGAATAAAGGATTTTTACTTTGACACTTTGAACAGGAACGAGCTGAGCAAAGAAAGTTAAAAGCACATGAAAAGACAACATATACCCAGAAAATCAAAAATCGAACGAGGACAATTTCAAAAATAGAAATAACAGATGAAGAAGAAGACAAGCTGCCAGCAGTCGAAGATGATCCGACTCGTACTGCAGCTATTATTCATGGTCAGAATAAATGTATTTTTTAAAATTTTGGTTACATATTTCTTTGAATAAAATATTGGCTTGTATAAGGTGATTTTTTAAAAATTTTATTTTAACACGTCCTGAAGCTAAAGCTTCATTGATAATTGTAGAAATAAATGAATATATAGGATTCACTATTGGTATTTAACTTTTATAATCATTATTTGTCTTCTTTTCATAGAATGTGACTAAAATTCAGCACCTTCAAAATTTAGTAAACTGTTTTGTTAATTGTTAATGTATTCATACAACTCTTTTTTATACTTATTTTCTCTAGAGTAAATAATAGGTAATCAGTTATCTTGTAGCAAGAGTTGTGTCACCTGTTTTGTTAGGTTATAGTAAAGGAAGATGTTGGATCAGAAAGATGTGTTTTCTTAAATGAGCTCACAAAAAATATGTCTCTTTTATACAGATAAACCTAAAAAAATTTTCTTTCTTTGCATTAATACATGCAAAACAATATATATATATATATATATATATATATATATATATATATATATATATATATATATATATATATATGTTCTGTGAATCAATGATGTAAGCAATTGTATGTTTAATCAGAAATCAATCTTTTAATAAATATGTTACATCTTGTTGTATCCACACCAAAAACTGTTCATGTTTTATTTCATGTTTTCATGTAATATTGCACTAAAATATTAATTTAACATCTTGTGGACAGATGATATAATCCTAGATAAAAACCACAAAACCAAAAACAAAATCTCATATCATTTGCACTTCCACAATAATCTTGGAACTTTTTAGAACTTTGATTCTGACGACTACTTTTAAAGTCATGTTTTCTTTTTGTCTTGTCTTGACTTTTCACTGTTTAATCCCCTTATTTCTTGAACATTTTTCGTAAACTTGGAAAAAGATAAAATGAATTTCTGTCACTTCAACATTACTTGTATAACATAATTTATGAATACCTGCCATCATGTATAGAATTCATAAACTTATTTTAATTCATTAAAAACTAAAATTAAGAATAAAATATTGCTAAAATATAACGCTATAATATATATGATATATTCTGGTGCATATGGTGCTCCTTACATTCAAACAACCTTGTGTCACATCCAGCCATGGTGGGGAGGCTGAGTAAATACACCTACTCAAATGACAGGCACTCTTTATGTGTCTTATGAATCAGAAGAAATAATCAACTTGTTAAAATTCGTCCTGGGTAAGACATTAAACTACATCCTCATCCTGGGTCAGACAATAAACTACGTCCAACAGCAAGGCCTCTAATCAGGAGGTTTTGAGAAGCGTGGAACCACCTCTTAATTGCTGGTGTTCCCAGGTCCACTCTGACCTGGGGTGGTAGCACCTGTTAAGATCCCAGCTATGGGCAAATAGTTAACTATTACCAGCAATACTTTTTTGAAAAAATTATTACTAGCAATACAATTTTGAAGGAAAAATATTACCAGAAACAGATTTTTGACAAAACAAAATATTACCAGCAATAACAATTTTTGTCAGCATTAAATAACCTATTGAGGTTGATATGCTGTAAAACAAAATAAACCAATCCAATCTAAACCAAAGAATACATATTCTATTCATACAAATCTATCCTAAAAATATTGTCGGCATTAAATAACCCATTGAGGTTGATGTGCCATAAAACAAAATAAATCAAATCAAATCAAAATCAACTTGTTAAATTTAAAACCAATTCTCTTATTTCTTGACATGGTCTTAAATACAAAAAATTAAAAATAAAATTTGGAACTCCAATGGAACTTATGACTGATATTATACTAAAATGATCACCCAAGCTAATACGTGATAATAACCTTGGGAAAGGTATGAATCCTTTTCTTCTCCAACTCCCCACCCCCAGCTATGGGTAAATAGCAGGACAGACCAGATTCTATAGCCTTGGATGGCAAATGGTCTACCGCAGAAAGAAATGGCAACCTACTGCGGGGAAAAAAATCTGCCTCGTCAGTCATGTATTGAACGATACATGATCACCTAAGCATGTATCATACATGGCACATAACTGACTGACTGATCACCCAAGCAGGGATGCCATCTTTGACCACTACTTTGCTATGAATTGATGAGTTTTCCATCTTCATCAGTCTGCTAATAGCAACATCTTAATAACCAGTTTTTTTGTGTTATATTTCGTTAGTGAAGAATTGCACTACCTAATCTTGTATTGTTCGGTTGAGCTGTTCAAAAAGAAACTAATGATTATTTTTTTCCCTATTTATTTTTAGAATTTAGCAAAGGTCAGCCATCCCATTATACATAAGAAGCAACTTAAAAGACAATTTTTCCTTTAAGTTGCCTCCAAATTTTTCTTTAAGTTGCCTCTAGATCAAAAATTCCCAACGTGGGGCTCATGCCCCACTGGTGGTACATGTTAATATTTTGGTGAGGTATACGTAGGATGTGCACCCTTTGGCTTAATATACCAACAGAATAAGGGAGCAATTCAAGAATGAGTTATTAATAGTGAATGGTTTTCTAGTGATCTCAAATTTCATTTTGCATTATTATTTCATGATTAAAATGACCAAAGTATATTACAGAATAACATTTCATTCAAATATTTTATATTTCTGCCTTTCAGTTCTCTATTATATGTTTTGAAACTATTTATATTTAACTGTCTTTTTGTTTTTTTTAATTTTTCTCTTTCATGGACGCCATGGTCTTTGGAGGCTTGTTTAGAGACTAATTTAATGGTCTTTTAAGCTTCCTTCTTGTGAATTGAATTGAAATTTTGAATATGTAAGAATTAAAGGCACTAGAATTTTAGAAATACCAAAGTGAGGCATGGCCTAAAATCGGTTGGGAACCACTGCTATAGACAATTTTTTAAAATTTTTATACAAATTACATAATCTAATAAACTTGTATACAATTGTACAGACTTGGATAAATTTTTATACAAATACATAGTATAAAATTATTATAGATGGAGTTTAGAGAAAATAATTCTTTTTGTTTCAAGTGCATTTATAATATTATGCAAAATTAGTTAAGATCTTTCAAAAGAAATAAAATTTACTTTTTTGTATTACCCTATGTAGTTAAAAGGCGGTTAGAATATTAAACAGGTGGTAATCCCCCTACTAATAAAACAATGAAAGAAATTAATTTCACCTATTACATGAAACTTTCATATATAAATTATTTTTTTTTTATTATGCCATTAATATTTATTATGCCATTAATATTGGCAAAAGCCTTTAAAATATGAGAAGCATTTTTAGAATTGTAATATAACAACTCTAAGAGCTTATGAAGCTTTATTTTACTAATTTAACTTTTGTGTTGAAAACATTTATTTTATTGTGTATAGTTACAAGCAACAGGACAGATGTGATGTGCTTATTTTATTACCACAAGAATTATAACTTTTATTATATCTATATAATGCCATTAAATTAATAAGAATTTTGAGATCTATTGACATTCATTACTCTGCTTACAGATCGAAAAATTGGAAAGGAAACCTTAAATGACTACATCACCAAAAAACGGGAAATGTTCCGTGTACAAGTAAGGAATAATATTCTTTTATTTTCACTGTCTGTTTTTGTTTACTCTCAAGCAATTATAATGTCTCAGATATAATATTAATAATTTTAAAAAATGGCTACATGGCTGAAGGGTTAGAATATTAGCATTCTGAAAATTTGATTCTGGTTCTTTAGTGGAACTCTTACATACAATCCATCAGTAAAGATACAGGTAAAATGATCAACTTCCTGTACCACTCCAGTAAGTACCTGACTCCTCATGCTATCTTCTAGCTTTATAAGAGCCAGATCAGATTGAAAAGTTGGAGGATATTGGCTATAGTTTAACTTGGAGAGGGTTGTGTTCCATCAAGTCAACTTGCTCAACATGAATGAATATGAGTACTGTTGTTATATTTGGATAGAAGCTGCCCAGTCGTCACTTTTCAGTCTTGATAGAGTTCAAAAGAATCTCCATGTCCCTGTTGGAGAAGAATTATTTTCCACCCTCTTACCTCTCTGTCACAGGTGGAATGTGAAAAGTCCCTCATTACTCTATTGCTACTTCCATGGAAAGTGCTTGGATGAACTACATTTCTTGGTTCTGCCATGCCACTTACATAGTAGCAAACCACTCACATTCCCACTGTATTCCATTTGTGAGGAGCAAGTTCCACTCAAACAGCTTCTTCCCATGAACCACTGTTCTGTTGAAACAGACTCCCAAGAGGATGTTTCCCTGATCATTACAATCTTAACCTATTCAAGTCTAGAGTTAACTGTTATCTTCCCACCCCTATCCATATAAACTACACCTTAATGTAACCCTCTACCTCAAGTGGCCCCTGGGCCTTGTCCAGGCTGAATCTTACCGTAAAAAAAGGGAAAAAAAAAGGGAAGGTGAATTCTATTCAATATGTTATGAATAAAATTTACTGTAGTTATATTAGTGCTTAAAAGTGGAATTTGATGATTTAACTATTTAAAATTTTTTGTTTCTCTTAAATTTGTTTTAACAAGTTTCTATATATTTTGCTTATGTCAGATAAACTCTATGAATGCTGTTGTTGGTATCAGCCAGTACTATCTGCCACGTGGGTGGGTCATTGGTGACTAAACTGGTTCCTACACCAGTTTGTTTTTTGTCTTTTTCTGATGAAGATACCCAGCAGGATTAAAATGAAGCCCTGTGAAAAGAGCAGATGAACCTTCTTGTATGGTCAATGGCCATCTAGCACAATGAGGCAGACTAGGTTCAATAGCTGTGTGCACAGCCAGTGTGGTGATGACATAACATCACTGGGCATGAGGCTTCCAAGACTGAAGCCAACAGCCAGGGTGAAGAGTTCCCCCAATGGAATCAACAGCCACAAGGCAAGCCTTCAAGTTGGAGGAGGTTGGCTATAGTTTCACCACCAAATCAACTTGCCCAACATGAATGAATATGACACTGTCTTTCAATGTGAAGAAAATTAGTCAGGTGCACAGCAAACCTAGAATAATAATAATAATAGTAGTAGTAGTAGTAGTAGTAGTAGTAGTAGTAGATGGTGATATTGGTGGCAGTAGTGTTTTACACTGAAAATCAGGAAAAAGAACATTGTCAGTGGTTTTTCTTCTTTATGTGCCATTTCCCCTCAGGATGTGGGCAATCATGGCTCTCCACAATTTCCTGTCTTTCATAGTTCTTAATAGATTTTGTCTTTTTGTTATTTCTCCCAAACCCTGTTCTGCCATCCATTTACTCAAACTTACTAGGCAAGTTATGTGTTATTTTACTCTGTCCCTCTTGCCTTCAATCTGTCCTGTGAGTATCAGATTTTCCAAGCCATCCCTCCTCATTATGTACCCTAGAAATTTCAGTTGTCTCTTCTTGATATTAAGTATAAATTTCCTTTTTGTTTCCTTTTTCTATAAAACTTTGTCGTTGCTCACATGTTCGGTGCATGGTATCCTCAGCATCCTTCTGTAGAACCACATTTTTGTTGTTTCAAGTCTCTTCTTCATCTTTGAGGAGATTTTCCAGCATTCACCAACATATATGAGGATAGATATCAGTTCAGTATTCATTTGTTTGTTTCTACCAAAGTTTTTCTGTTTCTTAATACTCTGCTTAGCTTTTGGAATGCATCTTTCACTATCCCAATCTGCCTTCAGATTTTAGTGTTGCACTTTCTGTCCTCTAGTAAAACACTTCCCTGGTTAGAAATTAATGTAAATATTTCTGATAAAACATTTTTGTTTATATAATTTATACAAGTAAATGGTTAGCCATAAACAGCTAATAGTAAATTCTATTCTGACATTAGCATTTAGCCCCTCTCTGTATATGGCATTGTATGTAAATAATTTTATGTATATTCTTCTTTTTACATTTTATAGATGTGTGTGGCAAAATATCATTCAGACAAAAAGCCAATAATAAAAGTTTTAGAGAAAAAAAGATTTGGTTACAAAAAAATCCATAAATTCTAACTACTATATCTTTTATTTCAAATATAAATAATTTAAGCAAATCGGTTCAGTTCAAAACATTCTTACACATTTTTGATTAATTTGATTGACTGTCCTTTTGCATAAAACGAGCATTTGCTTCTTTTGTTTACATATTTTTGCTTTTTGCCTGTGTTCAGTATGCAATTGGTGTGATGCATGCTGAGATGAAAAAACTTGATGAGATTGCCCAAGCAGAGGAAAGAAAATTAGAAATGGCTGAGCAGTATTTAGAAGAAGATGCCTCCACATTTGATGAGTTTCTCAAGGAAAATGACAAGAACTCTGTTGAAGCAGTAAAAATGTAAGTTCTTTTATATGAGTAAGTATCTCGACAAAGGCAGCTGACAGAAAATACAGCTATACTATGAATGTTTCCATCAGCTCACACACACACATAAACAGCTCTATAGCTCCATAATAGAATTTATTAAGAGTGCCTTTTACATTTAATTACATTAGTAATTTATTAGGAATACATTTACCATGGTATCATCCAGTGTTGGCATCCTTGTGTGAACTGATTCTTTAAATTGTAAAAGCTTAGTGATCTGGTTGTTAGATTATCCAAAAATAATCTTATATATTGATAGTTGATATATTATAGCTAAGAATATAATTAGTATCATTGCTGTAAGTTCTGCAGAGGCTGAAAAGGAGTTTTCTGTGATTAACATAATTTATTCTAACAAAAGAAATCATCTTGAAGTTAAAAATGTGTCAAATTTTAAGGTCATAAATTTGATAGGTCTTCCATTGGATCTTTGGGACTGCAGTGATTCAGTTTGAATGTGGCTAAGAAACCACAATACAGCTGATGACACTAGAGTCAAAAAACATCAGATTTCTGAACAGACATATAAAGAGAAGAGAATTTCAATCTGGAAATAATAAATAAATGTTTTCTATTAAATTATCAATATGGTTTAATTCTTTTTGATAATATAAAGTGATTTGTTTTCATTCTCAGATTGAAAAGAAAATAAGCAGAATAGGTTCTTAAAGATTACCTGCCTTTATAGAATTGGTTCCTGGAAATTTGGGATGGTATTATTGGTATCATGATATAGGTCAGCTGTGAAATAATATTTTAATTCTGCTATTAAGAATAGAGCATGGTTTGGTGTATGCCATTGTACTGCTCCTTTGACCGAAATTTGTCTTCTCAAAATGTACAAGAGTCTTATAGTCCTGATACTGTTAAGCACTTTTTACATAATCGCTTCTATGCCGAAGACTTATAGTCTGGTCAATATCAATGTTCACTAGAAAAATGTTACCAATTAAATATGGTATTTTTTAGAAAGGTTATTTTTTTTTTAATAAATTCACCCCAATCAAGGCAATAATGCCACTAAGATACAAGGGGCTACTGGGAGTGAAAGAGAATGAAAAAACTTTAAAAGGAATCAGAAAACCCAATCCTAAGCAGGAAACAAGGGATAAACCTCTACTCCTGTTCAAAAGACCAGGCTGGTCTCCTCTTAGTTATGGGGGATAATTTGCAAACCACATCTGAAATAATGAACCTAAATTAAAACAGGTGTATTTCACCAATATCAACTGGCATATATCAGTAGTCATGTATATAGAAGTGAAACAGTAGATAACTTTAAAAAAATAACACAAAACAAAGAACTACCAGCTCTATATGTCTCTTAGTAAATGACTGAACACCCACAATTTACAGACCAATAGTTGGTCTGTCAAACTGAATTTGACAAATAAAACAGTCTACAGAGAGAGATAGAAGGAGAGAGTTGACAGTCGGACAAATATTTTAGAATACTTCCAATCTGTTGTTCTCAGACCTTGCTCTCACTGTGTGGAGTTTTCAAGATGGTCACATGATATTTGTATATTTTGCAGATACGACAAGAAACTAAGGAAGTTTTTTTTATCTCAGGAACCACTGATACTGAGAACATTAAATTTTGCCTGGTTATAAGTGTTGTTAATAGAGACAAATTGGCAAAATAATTTTATCTTCACTTTGACCTTTTCGTTTTTGGCTGTCTGGTCAGTAAAACTTAGGACCCATCCTTGACAGATCTGTGTGCTACATCAAAGTATGACTAGTGAATGAAGAAAAACAAATACATAGAAATAACTCATTACATCAAGCAACTGACTAAGCACCTTGAGGCCTGAAAGTCCTGTTTTGCTAAGCAAACTGATGACTCAACCTGACAATGGAGGTGCTTATTAAAAAAAAAAAAAAAGTATCTTTTCACATCTTTTTGATGTCTGCCAAAAATGTGATCCTTGGTACAAAAACAGAAAATTATAGAATTTGAAATTTTTAATTCAAACACTATCGCAAAAATACTAGGCCCAGAAAATAGCACTCCATCAAAAAAAAAAATAAGATAAAAAAAATGAATTGAAATTGAAATTTCCCAACTCCACCACCAAAAAAATAGCAAACAGAACAATATAAATGGCCTGACATAACTCAAAATAAACATTAAAATGAATTAGCATCGTCTTCCCATTCATCCTCTTCTTGTAAAGCCAGACTAATGTTGTTGCAATTGGTGCCTATACAATCACTGCATGCTGTTACACATATGAGACCATGTTTCTGGCAAGAGCTGATGTTTGTGCTGAAAGGACTCTTGGACAAAATCTTGCACTTGCAATGCACAAACTTCAGTAGTTTCTCAAGAGCAGGATCTATATCGATAAGAACTGAGGCTAAAGTACCATTTTTCATTTCCCAATCCCAGCTGCAAGGAGCAAGCTGGTAATGACCTAAAGCCTTGAAGATAGACATGGAGACTGTGGAACAAAGCTGACCATTCAGTTGGAGGCAGTCTTTCAGGGTGTAACTTCTCCATACTACTTGATATACCTGAGAGAGTCCAATGTATCATCTGGTTTTCCTCCATACATCTTGACAAAGATGCAACTCAAGAAGGAGAAGAAGTTGCATCATCTAAAGTAGAGCAAGAAGACTGGATCTCCTTTGATTTATGAATAAGCCTATTTATCTCACATTTCCCACGCCCAAATACAGCTGACGTTGAGTCACATCTGTCCCATGCGTGGATGACTGGCAAGTTTTGCAGAACATAAGAGTTTGTCTTCTCTGCATTTCACGGATGCTGAGCAGCTTCTTCATCTTTCCCTCAGACTTCTTTCCCTTGGAATGCATATAGATGTCAGCTATGTCTGGGGAAAAGTAAAAGAACAAGGATGTCTGTGTCATCAGCTATTACAGTCACTAAATTTCTTTCAGTAGTTAGTTTGAGCATTTCAGAAACAATGTCTGTGTCTGCATCTTCATCACTTTAGACTACCCGATGACCATCTGCTTCCAAGGAACAACATATCTTGACAAACTGATCTTTGTTCTTTTTGTTTGACAGGAAGAGCTCTTAATGAGCAGTAACTTGCAATCCATCTTTGATTTCTATGTTAGCAAAAGTCAAAGCTGCTCTTTGCTGATGTTTATGGTCTTTTATGGAGAGGTCTGCATAACCATCAAAAATGATGTTTGATGGCCCATACTTGGCCTTCACTTAGCTCAGGTACTGTGCAACCACACTGCTGTATATCAACCTAGACAACCACTTCACTCTGTGAAGGAAAGTACCCCCATCTGAAACAAATAATGTGTCAGATCATGGCTGAGATTTAGGTACGTCAGTGGTCAGATGATGTTTCAGTATGGCTTTGTCTTTTTCATTTCAAAATTCTTGAAAATTGAAGTTGGAAATAGAGTGAATTCAAATTTGAAGAACAGAGTCACATCTTCACATCTTTCCAGCAGAACAACCAGCCTTGAAAACAGAGCATTCGGATCAACATGAACATTTTGACCATCAATCTTTACACATTTTTCCAGCTCAACAAGAGTACGCACTTGAGAACTTCTTTTCAGTGAGCTCTCTAAAACGTTCAAGTTGTCAAGCTTCTTCTGGATAGAGTGACTAATCTCCTCGACGATATCACAATTGATTCCAGCACCATCGGATGCTGTCAAACCAGATGATACTGATCGTAGTTCTGGCTGGCTTGGGTCAAAGGGGTTGTGTTGAGAGATCCAATTGAAGACATGGGTCATATCAACAAAATCTCTCTTCAGATGTGCACTAATCAGCTCTACATGCTGCTCACTGGTTCTGTGGGCAAGACCAGTCAATGTTGTCATGGCATCATGCACTTGGGCACAGGTGTGCATGCTATACACCCACATAAATCTCACTGATTCTGTAAACACACATCCCCTAGTTAGCCCACCATTGCTCTTTATTGATCTCATCACTTGTTCAATAATGAGGTCAGTTGACAAGCCAGTCCAGTAACGGTCACTGCATCACACAGAATGAAACCCATACTCTGAGAACTGTTGATGCAACCAAGGATGCTTTTCAGGCAATTCTAGCATCCATTGTAAGTATAATCATGCACTCTTTGCATAGTTGAAATGCCCGGTTGCTGCAAATAAATTTAGCATCCACCCCACTGCCACAAGATGCAAATTCCAATCCCCTGTTCTTTTGGCACGAATAAACAACTTAAGCACAATGAAGTACTCAGTGTACGCCAGCCATAACTTTGCTGTTCTTGATTTGCTCCTGAGTTCATGCATCAGAGTATCAAGCACTCTTTTCAGCTTCACGAGGGCTGAAGATTTGCCAATGTCATCAGTACTGATCTCATGCACTTGGAATTTATTATACAAATCATTTATTTCATCCACATCAGACTGTTCTAGTTTCCCAGGCAAACAGCCTTGCACCACATCATGGAAATTATCTTGAAACACATCAGACATACTACTCTCAAGAGTTCCTTCAATATCTAGAAGCTTGGCTTCATTCTCCACAGAGGCAAACTCCTCTTCCATGCCAAAAGTAATCTTTCTCTCATTTACCTCTTCTACATCAGCTGAGTCCAATAGCTGAGAGGTCAATTGGTCAGCATCTGCTGAAAGCATAGCATTGCTAAGTTTGCTCATCATCAATGCTGCATGTACAAATGGGTGTGATCATAAAGTTCTTGAGACAGCCTTTCCAGAAAACAAAATGTGTGACACCAAGGTTTCCGCTTGGTTGATGGTAAAAGTCAGTAAATCTCGGACAACCCAATGCACCATTCATAAGACTTTTTTTATATTACCAGAAGGAAAAGTTTTCATATTATTTGAAGAACTCATTGAAACAAGCCTGAATCAAATTTCCTATCCTAGAAAAGATTTTGCAAACATATTTATATATAACTTGTAAGTGCATGGATGTGAATTTTTTACTTTTACAGATAACAAAAATGATAAAAACTTCTTTCCATTTTTTCTATTAAGTATTCATATATTGACCAGGCTACTAAACATCTCCACTTTTTCAGCATCCAAATTCTCAGTGAGATTTTTTGTTTGTCCTCCTACATCCTCAAACCTTGAAGAACCCAGTGATTAGGAATACAAGAGCAATATGGATATTCAGATTTCTTAAACTTGTATTTTTCTTTAGCATTCCTTTATCCCGAAAATTCCAACAAACATACATTGTTGGTAGCATAAATAATACAACCCATGAAACATTTTCACCTCAGGTATGTCTTCCTTTCTCATCATTCAAAAAAAAACTAATTAAATTTCTTTTGTTGCTAAAAAATTGATTTGGATGAACCATTGCATTAAATTCAAAAAAAAATGAAAATTATGCATCATGAGAAGATTAATATCCTTTTATTTTTCCTGCCTGAGTTTCTGAATTTTCTTTTCTTTTTTCAAATCATGTTGAATGAGATTTGATCTAATCTTGATCCATGCATATCTTTTTGACAGAGCAGAGCAGGAGACTAAAGAAAAACTTGAGAAGGTGGCCGAAATAAAGAAAATCAACACAACAATAATGTCACTAAGGTCAGATATCTCAAAGTCAGAGGACACGCTAAAAGAATACAAACTCTATAAGAACTTCCTTGAATCAATTTCACCAAAGGTGAGACTTGAAATCTTTCTCCCATGCTTGTTTTATATTTGTGGACGTTGGTGCTGAATGTTGGTTTTAACATTCAAAATGAATGAACACTTAGTGAACATTGACTTGGAAGGTTTATTTTCTTCTGCATACAAATACAAACTTGTATTCTCTTTGTGAGACAGAGTTCATAGCTTGTGGTATGTTACAACAGAAAAAGATCGAGACTTCTCCTTCTGTGTAGCAGACAGTCATCTTGATTAGTTCTTTGGTGGTTAGTGGAGTGGACCAGCCTATCCCGCTTTCTGGCAAAAGGGCAAAGAAGGCTGATGTTTAAGTTCTATTTTTCCTGGGTTTATACTGAGGTTGGTAAGTCACCAGGGAGTGTGATGAGTGTGAGTAGCATTGTCATTTGCTTTGGTACTGGGTTTTTGATTTTTTTGTTTTGATTATCCAAGTATCTGTATTCAGAAGAGAATTTAGCTGATTGATCTGCCCTTAAAAATGCTGGTGTTAATGTTAATGAGGTGTTAAGATGATAAGATAATTTTTTTCAAGGGATTTAAGAAATATTTTATCTTATTTATTAAACTTTGCCTATTGCTACATGTTTCACACACTGTAAAATCTGACCTATACTGTCATTGTTCTATTAAATCATAAAATTAATAAAATGATATTATTTTTTTCAAATTTAATGTTATACTGATTATGTATATTTTTTCTATTTTCATAATATTGATAATTTTCTTTTAATGTAGCAAATATATATACTTTATATTTATAGGATAGAAATTATATATGTTTATTATATATATTTATTACTACAGCAGCAATCAAATCTGTTTCCATAGAAAATAATTCTACTTCCTCTTGACTTTATAAAATTATTGAGAAATTTTCTTTTTTTGTAATCAATTCTCCCCAAGCAAGATGATAATGCCACTAGTATGCAGGGAGTTACAGGGAGTGAAAGTGAATGAGAAGACTTTAGTAAGGAGAAGTGAGGAAAGGACAATAAAGGAACAGCATTCAGAAAAACAGATGGTGGCAATTGACATTGCATTTAAATTTTAGTAGATTGTAGGAGACAGGTAATTAGTGAGGTGTAGTGGCCAATCTAGTAGCATGCTTAAATTCATGCAGATGAGGCACTAAAGAGAACAGCTCATCAGAACAGTTGCCATGAAAATATATGTAGAAAAGACAGATGAAAGACATATCACATTGGTGAGAAAGTGACTGAAGTCGAGATGCCAGGTCAGGATCAATCATTTTATAGACACTTCTTTGAATTTTGTCAAGAATCTTGAAATATACACTAGCAGCACCAGATCAGATATGGTAGCAATATTCAATGCACAGTCGAATGATAGATTTATAAATGTGCAAGACAGATTTTGACAAGGAAAATTTTCTGGCACAACACACAGTGAACCAACTTACTTTACAGTAGACATAGAAATTGATTCAATATAACCACTCCACTTCATGTCAATGGAAAACATTTTCCTGTTGCTCTCTTTGAGTTTAACATCAGCCATACTGATGGCAGGCAGAAAATGTTCTCTGTAGTGGTTAAATGAAAGCAGTTTTGTTTTGGAGGTGTTAACATTTACAAGCCATTTCTTGCTCCAGTTAACCACTGATTGGATGTCCTATATGAGAACTGTTAAGGGGAATTTTACTTATTAAATTGTTATAAGGAATTCAGAGAGAGTGTTAAATCATTCTATCTCCTGAGTAACATGAATTTATTAGAAAAACTGATCAAACAGAAAATGATTGGATTAAAACTGTTATCTGTTAATTAAATGCTACCTAAAGTACTGTAATGGCGCCTTTAAAAAATAAAGGAAATATCCAATCCAGAAGTCTTTTTCACAGTATTGTTGTAACCAGCATGTAACAAGTTCTCTGATTGGTCAATAGATGAGACAATGACAGCCCTGCCTCATTTCCACCTTGGTAGACAATTTAGAAACTGTCTCATTTGACCCTGGATCTGTGAAAATGCACCAAGCCACCTTCTGACCACCAACAACATGAAAATGTCAATGGACAATGTATGTACTATGTGAATAAATAAATATATATATATATATATATATATATATATATATATATATATATATATATATAAGAAGAAATATGGTCTTAAGATGTGCTATATTTATGAGACAAAGTGCTCAATATCAGAGATAGAGCGTGATAAATATAAAAGTGAACATAGTCATCAACACTTAGAGGCAACAGTCTGTTTCATGCTAGATGCAATCGTCAGGCCATGATGATTGTATCTAGCATGAAACAGACTGTTGCTTCTAAGTGTTGACTTCTATGTTCACTTTTATATTTATATATATATATATATATATATAATATTTCATGTTATTTTAATTTCATGTTTCTTTTGTTGTGGTTCTTTATAAAATGTGGACCCACATTGAATATAATTTTAAGGTTGTTCACAACAGTACTTTAAGCATTTTCATTATTTGACATTGGATTAATATTTTTATCTTGATTGTTTACATCATTGTAATGTCTAGTCTGTTATTTGAACTTTTTTCCAATGTCTGTTGTAACCAGCACTCTTTAGCCAGAGTTTGTCTCAATGAAAAATGTTATCCTTTTATTTAGAAAATACATTGTGACAAATAGAAACAAATAACAAATATATCTCTCAAAAGAGGAAATAGACAAGCAAAATAGGTTAAAAAAATACACAAAGAAGAAGAACACTTTTCAAACAGAAACAATAAGAATTTTAAACAAACTCAGAAATTATAAAGGGATACATGGTGACTTATAGAGATTTTTAGACTTATTAGTAGGGAACAGATAATTACCATATTGCATTTTTAACCAACTGTAGCTAAAAAATACATGGTAGTTTTTTTATCCCTAAGAGGTTGCAGATTCACAGAAATAACAGATAGACACATGTATGGCATACAAGTTGATATCCAATCAGTATCAGCTGGGTTACCATGGAGAGGAGTAATAATGTTTAAAGCCTTGAAAACCCTAATGATCCCTGGCTAAAAATATCACTGATATGTGCCAGAGCATCAAATTGATGTATTTCACAAAATTATCATAATTTTAACCGTGTTATTACTGCTGTGATGCTACTATCATGTCATGAAGTCTCCTAGCCTAGGAACACATATACTGCTCTCTTCAGTGACCATTATACTTTTGATTAATTAAGTCTGAAAATATTATGGGGCTTGACTTCTGAAATGAAATTGTTCGATTTCAGGAATGGAAGGAAAAACTCTCTAAGAAGCGAAAAGAAAGAAGGATAAAAAAAGAACAAGAAAAGAGGACTTCATCTCGTCCAAGTAGCTTCAAGTTAAGGTTAATGGGAAAAACTCCCACAAAAGAAGAATCTAAAATGTCCACAGTCGTCAGAAAGTAAGTCATGTTTGTAAATATTTACTTATTTGAAGTGAGAAAAGGGTTTTACATTTTCTCAACTTAATTTATTTTTGTTGTTTTTATTGAAAGGTAGGAAAATAATGTTTTTGTGAAATTATGAGTGATTGAGGACAAGATTTGATGTGTCATGTTGAATGGTTGATGTTTTTGATTATTAACATAGACATATCTAAGAATTATTTAAATTATCTTATAAAGCTTCACACTAATTTAAAATTTGCTTACATTTAAACAAAATATTGTTTTTCTTTTTTTAAGCATTTCCTTCTAAGAAAGGTGATAAAGCCACTAAGATGCAACATTACTGAGAGTGAAAGAAACAGAAAACATTATTGAAGTGACAGAACAATAAGAACAAGATTCTAGGAAAGCAAAAATGATGATTGATGTTGCATTTAAATTTTTGAAGTTCATGCTTAAAACGAAAGCAAGAAATCAAGACAGACTTCCACAAGCAAGAAGTGCAAGAAAATAAACTATAAGAATAGAACTTAAGAGTTACATCTAGCAATTTCAACAGTAAAATAATGAAACCTGCCTGCCAATTGAGTACTATGTTTAAATTCATGATGTCAAGGTACCAAAAGGAAAGCTCACCAAAGCAATTCCTATGAAAATATTTAGAAAGCACTCAAGGAAACTACATTATGCTAGTAGAAAAGTGACTGAAGCTGAGATACCAGGTCAGAACCAATAAAATTGCAAATTTTCTTTGGATTTTGCAAAATTGAATGTATTCTCTGGAAATAACTTTGCTAGACAGTCATAGAGAAGGTTGAGAATTAGCTCATAATTTCCATTTTTTTTTTTTTTTTGCTTGATTGTTTTTCTTTATAAATATCTTGCTTATAATTGTTTGTAGGATGTATAATATGCAAAACAAAAGTAAAGATATGGGAAAAAGTGGAAAATTTTTTATCAAAGATGCAAATCACCACTGGAGAAAATGTCTGTTCTCATTGACTTCTTCAGTTTTATAATGAAAGCAAGACTAAAACATTGTGAGGTAAAAATGTCTTGGGATCTCTGGGGACAAGTGAGTATCATAGATCAAATTTATTAAGACTAACTCATGCTCAATTTTTCCTAACAATGTTTGTGTCTTTCTTTTATTATCAAACTGAAGAAGCCAAAAAGAACACATTTTTTTTCCAGTGCTGAAATGCATCTTTGACAAAATCTGTTTTGTCTCATCACTTTCATTGATGTACAACTTCAATCAGAATATAAGTCATTTCAAGCTCAGTTAATTTGAATTAAGTTATTGATGACATACATCATATTGTTTTTTTTTAAATCCACTATTCCATCTCATAGAATATTCTATAATTTCTACATAACAACTTTTTCATAGCTTCAAGAATTTAGTACACCATCAGTCAATGTTCATAAGTCATTTGACAATGACCAGTGACATCCTACATGCAAAAGTCTATGAGATAATACTGAAAAGTTCTCAGCCTAAACAAGAAGGGATTCAAAATAAAACTGCAATATTTAGTCATCTGGTCAGATTTTTGAAATGGGTTAGGCCAAACAGTTTTCAGCACCCTATGTAAATCCTGATGAATAGAGGATAGAGCATGCTGCAGAATTAGACTGGAAATAGGACAAGCCCAGTGCAACTATGTCAAGGACAGTAGGTCAAGAAATGTGATATTCATGATTAGAATGAATACAGAAGCATGTGCACTTATGTTATATTGATTATGCAAAAGCATTTGACAAGATCTGACACAAGAATCTGAATTGCTATGAAAACTTTTGATCTATTTGGAAATGATGTTGGAATAATTCAGAACTTATACTGGGAGCAAACTGCCTGCTAAACAGATAGAAAATGAATTGAGTAGTGACACAAAAATAGAAAGGAATATAAGACAAGATGTGTCTTCTTCCCAGATTTATTCAACCCCTACAGTAAGACTATCTGAAAGGGAACTGGAAATTCTACTAAGATTTATTATTGGCGAGTGTAATCTTAACAATACAAGATATGCAGAAAAAAACTCAGAAAAAAAACTACAGGACTTTTCTAGAAAAGGTAGTAAAAGAAAGTAAGAAAAAAGCACTAAGCATCAATTGCAAGACAAAATGTATGCGCAAAAAGCTCATATTGAAGATAACAACATCAAGCAAGTACAGAATTTTATCTGCCTGTGGAGTATTTTAATATAGATTGGAAAATACAACATTGAAATTTGAACATGAATTGGACTAGTGATAGACATTCCAAAAGATAAGCAGGATGCAATGAAACAGACAGATTTTGTTAGAAACAAAGAAAACAGCGCAGCATTGCTATGCAATATCCATCCTCTTATATGACAGTGAATGCTGGACATGGATTAGAAGTGGTAACAGAATGTGGCTCTACAGAAAGATACTGAGAATTTCATGAATGAAGCAAGTAAGAAACAAGGAAGTCTAAAAGAAAATGGCTAGATAATTTTTTTTTTCAGTAGCGGCTTGGATCTGATATTTCTCCAAAGGATCAAATTATTTCCAACTATTCAAATGTAACATCAATCGACATCTCCAGATGCCCTGATCTATCCCTTAACCTTCTCTTCATTCTTTCCTCTATCACTCCTCTTTGTTCTTGCTGCAACTCTGTAACCCCTTGCATGCTAGTGGCTTCCCACCTTGCTTGGGGTTGAATGCTTAAAAAAAAAAAAAAAAAAAAAAAACTATATGCCTTATTTTTCAAATTGTCATTGAATAATCATTAAAATTTCATGGCAAAAGTAGATAAAATTTTCTTTTAAAAAACATTTTAAAAAATCATTTGAGATCAAATTTCTTTTCTTCAGGATTTTTGCAGGGATTTCAATGAATAAAGTTCCAGCTCAATTACTCAAGAAATGAAAATTACAAATCAATCAGCATTTTTAAAATATTCCTAAAAAGTTGAAATGAAAAACCTGACTATGTTATTTTATCTAGAAAATTATGTGTAACACTGCTATTGCAAAAAATTGATTATATTTGCAACTTTTTTCTTTCATGAAGGTCAACTGGTACAGAAAGTATTATTTCAAGTCTTGATGGATTCACCAGTGACAGTGATGAGGTAATGTGTTATGTGATATAGTCAGTCAAATAATGTGTTTTAGGTGATACAGTCAGTCAAATAAATCTAACAACAGTAATTGTTAGATATTTATATAAAACATCTGTGAGTAATATATGTGACAAATATATATTGTAATTTGCTGATTTTTACTTATTACAATATTCACAATGTTTTTGGGTTTGTTTTTTTTTTGTATATCTATGAATTCTTGATGACTATAAAAAATGCCAATAAAATCAGTTGATAGGGAAAGTCAAAACTAAAGATAAATTTGTACTTCTTTCAATTCAATCTTTCCTTAAAATGACTGCCAATTTCACTGATGTTTGTCTTCCAGTTGTGTTCAAAGTTACCACTCAGTGGTTTCCAAACTTTTTTCTCTGTGTTTCATATTCAGAATGAAAATTTGCAAACGACTCACCAAATTTTATATGATAAAAAGTACATGTAAAAATAGAAAAAGAGTGTGGGTTAAAGGGAGATAACTGGAGATTCAAAGTCAGAGCATTATCATTGATAACTCTCTCCTCCAATTTGCAGGCTTTAATTACTATATTCTTAATACTTAATATAATGCAAATGATAAAATGATAAAGATCGGTCAATAATAATAAAATCAGTCACAATGATAAAATCGGTCCATAATTATTTATAACTATTTATACTGGGATTCATGCATGCAATTACAAATAATCAATAATAATATTTTAAATTTGGAAATCATATTTATTTTTGGGATGTTGATTTTTTTTAAACTGTTTCTAAATCTTCGATTATCTTTCAATCATTCCGCCTCACCTGCTATCTTCTTCTGCCGCTCCTATGAAGCATGCCACATCGTTTGGGAAACACTGGCTTAAGTAGCGCTCTTGTACATTTTATTAAATATAGATGATGAAAGTAATTCTATAAACATGTTTGTATGTAATTTATTTTCATTTAAAAAGAACAAGAGGTGTGAAACTCCCAGTCATTGGATTAACTTATTGTCTACATTATCTTATATCTAAATTAGCCTTATCTACAAATCAGCCTTATTTACAGTGTAATATTTTTCTGATAAATTATATTTGTCTTCATCTCTTTCAGTCTATTCAATTTGCTTCTCTTTTCTTTGAGTATTTATTTTCTAATTTTGCTTATATGCATATTTATCTAAATAGAAAGAAAATATCCCTTCTGTTCATAATAGCATTCAACCCACTCCATAAATTAGTGGCTCTTAATGTTCAACCTGCCTCAAGTATATTCTACCATAAAACATAATGACATCATAGCAAATAATGCAGGAAGTCATACAAATAGTGAACACTTTGACCATAAGCCATGGGACATTGAGAGCCAATATTTATGGAACAGATTTGAGCATGTTGAATGATAGATGGTTAAATATAACAATAATATGTAATTAAAGGCTGAAGAATAATGTTCATTTGAATATTGCCATAATTTTTATTTTCTTAAAGCTTTTAACTCCTTAGGATTCAATCTGCCTAAACCTTCCCTGTAAATATCAGCTCTCAATGTTTAACCTGCCTCATGTATACGCTGCCATAATATATAATGACATCAACACAAGCAATACAGTGGGATCTTAAGAGCCAATATTTATAGGGCAGGTTTGAGTGTGTTCAATTTTGAAGGGTTAAACCTCAAAACATTAACAAAATTACCTGCAACTCATGTTTTTTAATCAAATACTGATTGCCTACAAGTATGTTTATTGGAGTTTCTTTAATCTCTTATACCTGAAAAATTGTATGATGAACAAAAGGTGTTTCAAAATATATTGTTTAGGAACTGGAGCTGTATTTCACAGAACCACAGCAGGTACTGGATATTTTTAGTGAGCTTGAAGAACAGAACTTGTCCCTGATCCAAAACAGCCAAGAGACGGAAGTTGTTTTAGAAGAAGTACAACAGGCGTTCAGGGAAAACAAACTGAAAATGTAATTCTGATACACTCTTTTATTTTCATACCATTTCAGTTTTCTAACAACACTGACATACATATTTACATATTTTCCATTCTGAAAAAGTATATTATATTATGGTCGATTTAAAGAATCATCCTTATTTAAATAAAATTTTCACTACTTCTCTTCTAGTTTGAATTTATGCCTATTATTTATGCCTATTATTGCTAACAATAGCCACTTATGTGATCAGTTTTCAGCATTTCTTCGTCATTCTTAGACATCATTATTAATTAAAAAACACCCACAAGGCATTTCTTTCAGTTGGTTAATATTATGCTTTAAATATTTTCTAAAATTTTCATAAAATTTTTGTAACCTCAGAAAACAGTCACTTTTTTAGAATGCATATGTGTATATATGTATGTGTTTGTACATTGCATTTGGAGTATATATATAATTTATTATGGCTCTCTCTCTCTCTCTCTCTGTTTCTATTTCATATATACAAGTTTCATTGAAGACAAGATTCCATAATTAAGTTTTTATTTAATTTTTCTTGTGTTTGTATAATTTTTTTCTTATCTAGACATAAAGTGTATAAAAATTATCCAAATGCTTTCAACTATTCATTTAGCCATTATCAAGCATGATTTTTATTTTTAACTGAATGTCTGTATTTTCATGCATGTATCTAGAATTATAACTCTATAACATCAACATTTGAACATGCCACAATGTGCTGACCATGCTTTGAAAATAAAAATAGAAAACATTGCCATAACTCTGCATATATATATATATATATATAAGAAATCCACTCATTCAGTTAAAAATAAAAATCATCCTTGATAATGTACAATCCTAAACAGGAAACATGGGATAAATTCTACTCCTGTTCAAAAGACCAAGGAAGAATGTGAACTGAATGATAGATGAACCTATCTACTCCAACTGAAGAAAGAAAAAATATATATATATATGTATATATATATATGGGCACACACAAATAAAAAAATTAATCAAAATTGCCTTGTCTGTCATATCTAGTATAACATATTTGAGAGAAAGGTTGCTACCAAAATATTGATAGCAGCTTTATTTTGTATCCATGAATTTAATTTCCTCTTTGTGTTGATGGCTAAATTCACAACCAAATTGCAGGTTCAAGACTAGAAGCTTCCAGTTTCCCCAAAACCTGCTCCCATCATCAATTCCCTATTGCCATTTGTCTTTGCAAGAGTTAGTGAGGGTGAAAGAAAATCAGAGTAGAAAAAAGTGCCGATGTTTAACTTGCCAGGAACTTGTCCAAATATATATATATATATATATATATATATATATATATATATATATATATATATATATAGTGGATAAATCAGCTAACTAGATATTAGTAATTGTATATGTGTGTGCTAGTGTGCATACACAGGTAACCAAATAAATATTTACCAAATTTACTTTAAGGTGTAAACATAAGAGTGCTTGATGTGGTTAGACAGAGCTAAGAAATAAATTGCTCCCAAAACGTAGGTAAATGTATATTTATTAATATATGTGTGTGTGTGTGTGGATTTGGGCAGCAATCCCTTTTTGTTGAACAGAGAATGTGAGCATAAAATCTTTGTGGGCAAGGGAAGCCACTTGGAGGAACAATATATTTGGAAGACCCTGGAATTGATGCATGTGTTAGATCAGTTGACCAAGGTTTGGTGGTGACATTGAGATAGGACTGTTGCAAATTAATTGAAGCTTGACTATTCACAGCAAATCTTTCCAAGATTTTAATGAGCAACCTACTTAAAAGCAAATGTTGTGGCCCCTAAATTCAGTTTTCATTCAAGTTTTTTCTTTCATGGTAAAATTCATGATTGAGTTATTTTATGTTTTTTGAGGAGATTTGGTTTGTGTGCCAGATGTAATAATTGGAGCCCTTGTATAGAGGATGATTTTTTTTTTTTTATTTTTAGTCTTGCTTTCTTAGTATTCACATCTGGCCAACATGTAGAGTGAGTTAGAAAAAGATTTATTTTGAAGCAGAGTATAATACCTGTTTTTAAATTTATTAAACTGTGAAACTAATAACAACTGGCTTAAATTGAGAAGTCCTACTAAAAAAAAGATTGTGCCACCAAAAGAAATCAAACTTGCATCCTTTTTTTCAACAGGGAAATTACTTTTTGAGCCAAAGTGTGTTTCTACAGGTTTGACCACAGAGGTTCAAAAAGTGGTTTCCCCAATAAATAAAAAAAGTGATTCAGGTTTGATTCCTGTCAGAGGCACACTTTTTCTTTAGTAGAACTTCTCAATTTAGGCCAGTTGTTATTAATTTCAATGTTTAATAAAAATAAAAATACAGGAGTAGCAGCTCAAACACATGTACTCACTAAAACTGAGTGTTAGAGACTATGAGAAAAATACTATTAAGGAGAGAAAACAATAAAAGTACAAGAATTAAGAATACAGAAGATAATGATTCACATTTCATTTAAATTTTTAAAGATAAAAGCTGACTGAAGAAAGATATATATATATATATATATATATATATATATATATATATATAATATTATTTGCTAATTAGTAGGTATAATTGCAAAGAGGATATAAATCACAAAAGACCTCAATGTAAGAGCAGAGCAAATACGATAATGATGAAAGTGGAGACTTTAGAAATCCATGGTAATAATTTATTTCATGGGTTCAGATCCTGTCACTTCAAACCAAATAATTTTAAGATAGATGAATTTTAAATTTATCCAGACACAAGCAAAAATTTTTTTTTTTCACTTGTTCCTGGATAAATTTAAAATTCATCTATTGTTGTAAAATTGTTTGGTCTGAAGAGGCAGGATCTGATCCCATGAGATAAATTATTACCATGGATTTCTAAAGGCTATGCTTTCATCATTATATATATATATATATATATATATATAGAGAGAGAGAGAGGGAGAGAGAGAGAGAGACAGACAGACAGGTAGATAGATAGATTTAAGAGAGAGAGAGAAAGATAGGTAAATTTATGACAAAGAATAAGACAAAAAAAACATCTTCTATAAAAAGTAAGTTAATAGTTTGAATTCTCAGAGTAAGCTAGTGAATGGATAATATAATAGAAATCTAATTGCTAAACAACTGGAGTTCTGATATGTGGTGGTGTAATCTATTAAGCTTGCATTAAACTGAAAATATATATATATATATATATATATATATATAGTGCAGTAGATAAATTGTCATCTAAATTACGCAAAAATGAAAATAGCATTGACATCTCATTTTTACAGATATATTTACGAAAATTACACAAAAATATCTTAAAATACTAAAGAGTAAATTTATTCAATAAAAGCACCTTCCTGAAACTCTTCTCCTTGTTTAAGTTGGTCAATGCTGTCATAATCCTTGCCTTCAGTTTAACTTTGGTGTTACAAGGAGTTTTATTGGTTTCTTGCTCAACTGTGACCCACACATAATAATCAAGGGGGTGTAGTCTGGGAAATTAAGTGGCCAGATGTAAGGGGTGATGTGGTCGCAGAAATTGTCTGACAGCCATGACTGGGTTCTCTTGCTTGTGTAGCATGGTGCAGAAGCCTGATGCCAGCTGTCAGATCTTCCAGCAGTCACCCTCTTGACCCAGGGCAGTACTATCGTCACAAGCCACTTGATGTAGCCCTCTGTGTTGAGTCTGAGGTTCTTACAAATTCAGTAGTTGTTTTCTTATCAGAGTGAGTTTTCCAAGGTACCATACCTTCATAATCACCATGAGACTCATCCAAATCTTTCCATATCCTCTGTACTGTTTTCAGATTGACACCCAAACACTGAAATTTTTGTATTGGACTTTCCAGTATGAATGCCAAGCAGTACAGCATGCTGTTTCCAAATATTTGGCAGTGTGAAAATAGCATCATGGTGATCTTTTTCTCACAGATGGTGCCCAACTGATGCCTACTATATTGTGCAGTAGACAAAATTTAAAACAAATAATGCACAAAATTAAAAATATAAAATAGCGACAATTTACTCATCGCATCATGTATGTTGTTTTTTTGTTGTTGTTTTTTTTTTGTAACAGGGAGACTGAATCAAAATTGTTACAGGAGCAGATAAACAAGGTGAAAGCGAAAATTATGCAAGAACAAGAGAAGTCAAATGAGCTGGAAACTAAAGTCAAGTGAGTAACAGCAGAAGTTTGCAGATTTCTTCTTTAAGATTTTCAGAGCTTTAGAAAGTGCATGGTGTTAAAATAATTGCATTCTTACAGTGATCAGAAATCTCCCATGACATATGCTCATTCAGGTTGAATCACATTAATCTAGCAAGTTTGTGACTCGTCAAGTGCTGGAGCAGTAGTTTTTCTAAATCACTGAAGCTTCCAGTAGAAAACAGCAAAATAATCCATATACTGACTATGTATTTGTGTTATAGCCTTTTATTCAATTTCAAAATATTTTATGAAAAAAAAGAAAAAAATTTTCAAGAAAAATATAGAGAGAAACTAATAAATGATAATGGCAAAAAATCAAAAATTGGAAATTGTGATCAGTATATAATTTTTTCTGATTGAAAACAAAAAATTGATCAGTAAAACTCACTTCATTTTTTTTCATTTTCTAGAATGTTCTCCTCAACTGGAGATGCACTGATGGAAGACCAACAAGCTCTTTTGACTGAACTTAAGAAAAAAGTGGAGCAAGTTTATCGAGGAATTATTGGAAGTAATGAAGCTAACATTGAGTATGTATTTACTTGATTATTCTGTAAACTAAAGAATTTATAGTATATTATAATAATATTTTACAATATAAGTAGGAGGTTTGAGAAATGTGGAACCACCTCTTAATTGCTGTTGTTCCCAGGTTCACCCTCATTTAGGTTCGTGGCATCATTTTGGCTCCCCAAATTGGGGTCAAAATGCTATGAAAGTATAAAAATACATTTTCATAGTAAAAATACCAGAAATATAGTTTTTGAAAGAAAAAAATTACCAACAATACATTTTTTTAATAATGCTACCAAGAAAATTAAATTTTGGCATTAAATATCTTATAACAAGTTGATATGCCACTAAACAAACAAACCTTTCAAATCATGAAAATACAATCAAATATCTTAACAATTCTGAATTTTAATTTGCTTTCTTCTTTTCCATTCCTTTTTCTTTGTGGATGAGTTAAATATTTTTACAAGGCCAACTTTTTTATCCAAGCAAATATCCACAAATATTTTTTTTTTGTTTTTGTTTCTTTTGGAACTCCCTGCTCATTTTCTTTTTAAATTTATTTTGCAGTTTAAAGGAAATGTTAAAATAAATATTATCATCATAAAAATGAATAAAGCATTAGTCTTATTTCCAGCCAAGAAAATTTAAACAAAATAAGTGGTCATTAAATTTATCTATAAAATGATAATGAACAAGTTAAAAGTAAAATATATATATATATATATATATATATATATATATATATATATATATATATTTTTCATGTATAAAATACAAGGATGTGGTTAAAATTTCTCACCACAACCAAGAAACAATTCCTCACAAAAATTTGATGTTCAGTCATTTGGGAAGTGAATCTTTTCAGCATCCCACTCATATAAACATAAGTCTTCTATGAATTTCCATTAGATCTGGGCTAAATTATCAAAAGATAACAGTATTAGTTAGAAATTAAATTTTTACCATTTTAAACTTTATATATATATATATATATATATATATATATATTTAATTATAGGTGCAGTTCAATTTATAATTACATGAATCATTCATACAAGAAACAAATATAGAGGTTAATGATTTAAATGGTGAGAATACATCTTCTCAAACAATTTCAATAAGGTACACTAACCCCGAACCTGTATATGAATGATATGATCCCTGTTTATAAATTCCAGTTTCATAAATCTTTTTAAAAATTAAAGCTTTCGTCTGTTCCTACAGACATCCTCAAAAAATGGAAATAGATTTGTTCTTGTTTTTTACTTTTTAAAATAACACATTTCTCATAGCATTTTTTCGGATTACATCTATATTTTCATTGTCCTCTTATTGCCGAGTTTGTTGTTGCTTGGAAATCTTCCATGTAAACAGAAACAGACTATCATCACTGTCTTGTCCGTGTATTGCTTAACATATTGTAATGTAATTGTCATCTTTGATAATGGTTTATGTAAGCCGAAAGCTTAGATAGGATTAAAAAATATGTATCAATATTGTGATTTTTTTTTACATTTAATGATAATGTTATTAAGCTTATCAGATGATATGAAAAGAATTTACATAAAATAAATAAACACTTGTCTATATTATTTAATGTAACATGTCTCAATGAAAAAATGCTGCCTAAATACACACAATTTAGAATATATATATATATATATATATATATATATATATATGCAATTTTTATCTATATTATTTATATATTATATGTGCAGTACTTATTAGAGAGTGTTCAATATCAGTGATAGACCTAACATATTTAGTTGCGTTGATGTGAGTTTGATAATCTGACCTTACAAAAGGCATTAAACCCTGGGTCAAAAACTCACATCAATGCAACTAAATATATATATATATGGTGCGTTATATATATATATATATATATATATAAGAGAGATTGAGATTAGAAATTTTGGAAAGGTTTAAAGTAACAGACATTGGAATTATATATTTAACTATTTAACTATGATGATGGGTATATCCCCATTCACATAATTACAGTAGTAAATACTGTATGTTGGTCTGCAGTCGAAGATTCATTGTGGAATTCACTTGGCTCACTTCTAGCAGTTGACTACTTCTTCTACGTACTGCTGACGAATCTTATATGTGTTGTTCTTGTCTTAAGTATTATCGTTCATTATGAGCCTTCATGTGATTATTCTATTCAATAATCTTCCCTAGGTTACAACAATTATGTAACAGAAATCAAGGAAATACTACAAAATATAGGAAAACAATAAATAAAATAATCCTTACCAAAAATTTTCCTTGGTCTTTAACTAAACATATTTAAATATATATACAGGGTGGTATCAAAATACTTTTACAAACTTTGACATCAGGTTCATCACATGAAAGCAAGGGCAAAAGTCCATATAAACATATATCCAAAAGGTCATCATTGTACCTTTGTAAGCGATCTGGGATTGCAAAAGAAATGTTTGTCAGGGATTATTTCCACGTCACAAAGAATAAATCACTAAGTTCAGACTCGAACATCAGGGACAGAAAGAAAATGCTGAAAAACTCGATTCATTAAACACTATTTCACAAAAATATATGCACGCCAATATAAAGAAAAATAACTCACTCTCCAACAGACGTGGCAGCCAAAATAGCCAGATTTTTTCTCCTGATTCGAGAACACCATCTGATTTTTTTATTTTTTTGGTTTTTCCATTCGTCGACAGCTGGGAGAGGATGTTCAGTAATTTGCATATCAAAATACTTTTATAGAGATTCCTGCGACGGACTTGTATTTTAATTCAAATATTCCATCTTCAGCATGTCATGCGGAATATGTGCCCTTTTGTTTGGTAAGTAATTTTCTTTTTGGCCACATTTTCTGTCGTAGAATACACGCGACACGTTGTCGATTGGTTTAACAAGGTAAGTCGCCGTTTTCTTCACTATAACCTTAATGCAGCAATTCATAACAAATGTTTAAAATGGGTTCCACTTGCTTCTACACACACATGCACTTTGTTGATTTGGTAAATTTTGTTTTACTGATTTGGTAAAGTTCAGCACAAGGCTGATGTTGGGAGTTCTCATTGACATATAATCACATAGGGCATCTTGCGTTTGATGGCTGTAACAAACTCGCTTCCATTTCCAGACAATCTCACTTTGAGCATTATTGACATTTGCCTAAATTGGTGTGGGGCATGGCATAGTTACAGAATTTGGTATTTCGACCTCCTGTCATCTTCACTGTTTTAGGTCCTGAGAATTAAATTACTTCATAATTTTAGGGAATTCCCTTCTTACACAGGTAATGGTTACAGGCATTACTACACCTCATAACCAACTTCCTCTTATTATCATCTGCCACTAATCCTCCTCAGTGAGAGTGGGTGGCCCCTCCACCTTCCTTAGGGATTCATCTGTTCCCACTACCTCAGCCACCCCGCCCCCAATCAGGAACAATTAATTCTAAGTTCATTGTTTATGAAAAAAGTTTCCCATTCACGGCTTGTATTTTCAGCTGTGTATGATAAGTGCCAATCATTGTTGCCATTTGCCCTGTTGCAATTGAAATCCATGCCAACCTTATGTGTTTCATTGTTCAAAATCCTGACATACAATTCAGATGGCTGTCTACATGAGAATTAAAATCTTCAATTTTTTCCAAGGGTTTTATTCATTAACTCTTCTTATTTATCAGGGATCTGTTAGTATATTGTTCCTTCTATTCAAAGAAAACTTTCTTATGAGCACCATTCATAAATAGTGTCACACTAGGGCCACTTGACATGTGCTAATACCTGGATCATTTCTGACAACCTGTAGAATGTGTTCTTCATGGTCAGGTGTACAAGCGGATCTTGGTCTTCCTCAATCCATAGTTTATGGTGCAATGAATCCAGTCTCCTCAATGAGACAATAAACAGCAACAAAAGTTGGATGACACAGCTACCTTTGATCTGGAAACACAATCTGATTCAGCCTTGTATCCATTACCATTTGAGCAGCTGTATGTAAAATCATATCTACCTACTCACAATATGAATATCCTGCCATTGTTAAAAGGAACACGTCTCAGTTAACTCACTACTACATGCATTAAACATTGAAGACAGACTAGTGTTATAAAATAAAATAAGACATATCTCAGCTGATTTACAGGCAAATACTCAAGAGCGAGAACCGGATGTAAACGGGACAAAGCCCAGTCACAAAATGACCATTATCTTTCTTTACAAATGTTCCCGACACACGTGTTCCAGTCGAAAAATAAAATAATATTTAAAGTGCTCTATTTTTCGTCCAATAAAAATGCTTCCCTCCTAATTATACTCACTTCGTTTTTCGAGCCTGATAAGCCATAAAAAAACGCAATAAAGGGGTCACACGGAAGTTCAACAGGCAGTCAACAGGTGCCCAGAGTAGAGACCTGTCACAGTCAGCTACTGACAGCAGGGGAGCGTCAACCACCGTCAACATGTGTGAACTACTATGAGAGATTGACCTAGATCCGAAGCCAGCTTATGAACTGTACCAGAAGGTGGCTGTCCAAAACCCACATATTCCTGTTGAAATAAACCACGTAAATCTATTTCTGCTGTTGTCGTATTTCTTTCTTACAACCATACGCTTGTCTATAACACTAGCCACACATGCACATGAATGACAAATGTAACCTAGTCTACAGGGCAACACAACGCCTTCTACTATAAACTTTCTTTCAACTTAATAACTCAAAAATGAAGGATTTGTGGACATATGTTTATATGGACTTTTGTCCTTGTTTTGCCTTCAAAGTTTATAAAAGTATTTTTGCTACACCCTGTATATGTATATTCAGATAGAGAGATAATGTATTCATGGGAAAATCTTGGAGATTTCAATATCAATATACATTTATTTATTTAAAGCACTCTTCAGATGTTGAATAACATAGAAAACAGACTGGAAGAACTATTTGATCTTGTGGAATCATTGCCTCCTGACAAAGTAGAAGCTGCAAAAAAAGTAAGATACTTTGTTTATTTGAGTGTGTGTTCATATATATATTTATATACAAGCATACCCAATATATTCAACAGCTACAAAATTCACATTTCTCTGAGTAAAATTTGTAAATGCAAGTCCACTGGCAATTTTATAACATAAGCTCTTATTGTTTTTAGAAATTCACAAAGAAATAAATAAGCAAATCTATAAGAAAGAGCTTTTCTCATGCAACAGTTTTACTTTCTACCTTTTATGATAAAGGTTATGTAAAGTTATTTTTTGAAGAATTATTTGTTTAGTTTCAGATTGGCTCTGAGTGTTATGCTGGGCTTTTATCCTTTATATTAACACAAAGTCTGAGCAAAGTTATTGTATATCATGATATATAAAAAAAAAAAAAAAAAAAAAACAGATTTAAACAAAAAGAGTTATTAAATATATTATACTATTTTATACTTTATTCAAGAATGGTATCAATTCTTCAAGTTTAGTTAAACTGAAATGCCTCTCATTTCTATTTATTAGATCCAACCATTTTTATGGTTGGATCTAATAAATAATTTTAGATTTCAGCAACTTGAGTCCTAATTCTTGTGCAAAAATTAAGCAACCTGAGTACTGGACAAAATCCAAAATTGCTTATAAAAAATGATTTCAATTGCCCTGATTAATTATTAGCATCTAAAAACAAAAACGAAATAATTAATCAAATAATCATTAAAGTTTCTTACATTTGACAATGGTGATACTAGCCATTTCCTTATAAGGAAACTGTAGAAAATAGAGAAACACGGGTATAACTTATCTGAAGCTTTAAAATTGCAGTCTTTGCTTATTGTTCTCAATTCAATTAGATAATGATTGAATGATTCAACATGTTCCAGTTTTCAAATGGTGAGTAGGCATTGAGTGAAAACTTCATTTTTAGGCCTGACATAAATTGCTTGCATCAACTTTATTGCTTCCTTGTAGCAAGGGAAGTCTGAAATTATCCTGTAAAGAGTCGGGGACAGATAGTTCATTATTAGCCTTGTCTTATCTATTTGCCAGTGAGAGTGCTCTGCATTCAGGGTTTCTATAAAGATTTTGAATGTTAAAATCCAATGGCTCAGCAGCTGTGGTATGGTCAGGGTTGAAGTTAAAATTTTGTGTTCTCATGCAATGTTCCATGGTGATTCTAAGGTGAATAAATTATAGTGAAAAGACAAATGCAGGTATAACTTATCTGAAGCTTTATTCGATTTAGAATGGAGTGTGTCTGAGCTAGACTTATTTAAACACAGAATACATATAAGGGACAATAACCACAAAAAACATTCAGCATTAATTAACCAAGTAGCCAGTGCTTTATAAAATCTTTCTCTTAAAGCAATTTTTCAGGAAAATAGGTTTCTCAAGTGCAGTAACTGCTATTGTTTAAAGTTACAATGTAATCCATTTTAGTTGTTTCTGTTGATGCTAGTCTTCAAGTGATGTGGTTTCTGTTATTTGGTACAGTTCTTTCTTTGGGATTCATCTTCAAAGCACAAAGTCTGAAGATGAATGGTCCTCACTAAGTGCCACAGGCTTCATTTGCTCAAAGCTATTTTTAACTATTGATCTGAGAAAGCAGTTGTATACAGCTGACAGTTTAGATATTTCTAAATGAGTTTGGCAACATACATGAAGTCTATATGAAAATCTTGATCTAATAAGGCACAATAGATTATACTGAGATAGGGATATTTTTTATAAAATCACATTCAGTCCCAATAGCCACTCCTGCTTTCATTAAATCAAAACAACCTTAAGCAGAAAGACTTGTTGTTGGGACTGAATTTGAGTAGTTTATAAATATATATCCATCTCAGTATCTGTCTATATTTCTGAGATGAGGTATTATGTACACTATTTACATTATTCGGACTATTGTCCTCATGTTTGTCGCCATGTTTATCACGTTTCAGCCATTGTATGCTCCAGCCTTCTTCAGATGGTTGGAATGTCGAATTGATACCTTTATTTTGCTCATTGGGGTAGACTGTTCTAGTTCCACATGCCATGTTTAATGGATGTCAGTTATCAGTTATCTCCTGTTAATTCCCCTCTGAAAGTTCTCCACTGCCTTAACCATGTATTGAACTCACACTCTTTGGGTCCTGTCACTGGATCTAACCAACGCCTTTATCCACTGTGCAATGTGTCCTGTGGCAGGACCCAAAGAGTGTGAGTTCAACTTGGAGAGGGGAATTAACAGGAGATAACTGATAACTGACATCTACTGGAACTAGAACAGTCTACCACAGTGAACAAAATAAAGGGTTCAGTTCGACATTCCAGCCACCTGAAGAAGGCCAGAGTGTACAACGGCTGAAACATTGTGATAAACATGGTGACAAAAATGAGGACGATAGTCCGAATAATGTAAATAATATCCATCTCACTATTTTCCATGGTTGAGTTCTGATGAGTGCAGAGTGATAACCAGTTGCTCATTTTATATGATTTTTGTTTTGCTCTTTTTTCTTGCTTTTAAATTTGTATTGTCAACTACTGTAGTTGTTGTTTTCCCTTTTAAATATGTCTCTTTTTAATGCTTTAATTAGATTTTGTACCTTTAATAAGATCATGAAAACACTGATGTTACATAATAAAATCTGACATAGTGTATGTAAAATAGAAGCACATTTTATGCCGTTTAAGATGATTTATATTTTGGATGATGAAATATTCATTGTGTTAAGAAAATCAGACTGACATCTCTTCAGCACCACCTCGTGATGTTTTTCTATTAGAATTAGAGATAAATATCAAGTGTAAAGTTGTAGTTTTGTTACCAGAAAAAAAGACAAAAGATTATGCAGCTGCGAAAGAATAAGTAGTGTTAAAGAGCAATAGCTTTTAGAGTTAGATGTTTGTAATGTGTTGCTGCTTTCCATGTCATAAAGACCTACAAAACAACTGATGATTATTTGGATAGACTCATATCTGGACAACCAAGAAAAACCACCATTAGATTGGATAGGTACAGTCACTAAGTTTCAATGAGCAATAGGAAAATAGCTGATACTGATAAAAGAAATAAAGCTAAGCAAAAATATGATATAAAAATTGGTGTAACCACTATAAAAACCATCTAAAGCAATCTAAAACAAAGGATGTGAAACTCTTAAAAAGCTACATTTTTTTTTTCAAAATTAAGTGAGTATATACCCAACTTAGATAAGAGTATAAAGATTGGAGCTTGAAAGAGTAATTGAAAGTGGTAAGGAGTTGCATTGTGTTGGATCAGCATCTATCCATCTCAGAAGATGATGGTTTAGCACAGAACAGTATGAGCTTTGGTCAAGAATATTAAGGAATTAATGAGGGATTAAATAGCAGAGTAGACTGAACACTTGAGCCTTGGGTGGCAACCAGTCTAAAAGAAGATAATTCTGAATTAAATGCTACAAGGAAGGCAATAAGAAACCATTCCACTCTACATCCTAAGAAGATAATATTAACAGATAATAAATAAAAGGAATATGTGGAGAACCATGACTGCTTACACCCTGAAGGGATATAGCAATTAAATAAAAAAAAACACAAAAAAGAAAATATATGTTCTTATTTGATATTATTTTTTTAATATCTAAAAGTTCAATAATATTCTATTGGTCAATATTGGTTTCAATATTGGTTAATTTTCAACATTCAGCATTATAAAATGTAATATTTTATTTATAATGTTATAAAATGTAAAAATACATTTTCACAATAAGAAAACACAGAAAGGTGACTATTTTATTTGGTTGAACTAGCTCAGACATTTATTAGTCTATCATGCCAACCATCATGGTTCTGCATCAAAGTCGGAATGTCACCAGAGTGGCATTCTGTTTCATAACATAGTTGGTCAATGTAGATGGATACTGGGTGGCCCATATTGTGCTATGGCTAAGTGTCCAGAGCAGTAGATCACACGCAAGTTGTTGTTTTATTTGACAGCAGTGTCCTACAAAGCAAATTCTGTATTCACATGAAGTTGTAGAAATATCAGGGATGAGTCCATAGATCTGTGATTTAGTTGGATGTTGTCTCCAAGAGATGTTAAGTATAGCTCTCAGCATCTGAGCATAGGTTCCATCAAACTTAGACTCAAGAGTTTTAATTAATGTCCAAGCAGTGGCACCATACACTAAAACCGCCTCTACAGTGGCTCAAAAGAATCTCCATTTGAGGTTGTCTGGTAGATCAGATTTCCGGATTGAATCCATTCTATTCAAGGCGGCCCAGGCTTTAGCTATACAAATTTTCACACCCTTTTCAGTAGAATTTATACATACCTAGGAAGTGAAATAAATTCTACTGAAAGGTGATTAAAAATGGTTATCTGAAATGTTATCTGTAAATAAAAAAATCACTTATAATTATATAAAGATTAAATATTTTTTCAATTGTCTAAAGACTAACAATGAAATTATGTAATGCAGGGAACTAATTTTCAATGTTTCTCCTTCATCAACAGGCTAAAGAAAAAGAAAGGCGACTCAAAATGAAAGAAGAGAAGCTCAAGTTATTAAGAGAACATCAGGAAGAACGCATCAGAAAATCACTGGAAAGAGCCAAAGCAGAACCCAAAAAAATTGTAAGTTGCTTTCTTAAGATCACTTTAGCAATTCTTACTTCATTATTTCCATATACAAATACAGTGCAAAAGCATTTCATTTTTTTAAAATTCAAACAAGGTTAGAAGGAAGTCATAAGTATTTCTCTCTTAATCTATTCATAAAAAGCCTCCCTACAGTCTATAGTTGGCTCTCTCTGTGACTTCTGGCTTTTTCTAAAGCTAAAAATTCTTGTTAAAAATGGAGATTTCATACTATGGATGAAATTAAGAAAAACAAGATAAAGCAGCTGATGGTAATCCCAAAAGACAAACATGCATCATTCTGTCAGCCTCTCTACAGTCCAGATTTGGTTCTCTCCAGACAAAACTAAAAACACAACATACCAGCTGATGGTGATCTTAAATGATGACTTTGTGGGTTGTTTTGAAAGTAGAAGTGAGTGAAGTCCCAAGGAGAGTACTTTGAATGGGATTCAGATGGCACTGCCCTCAATATGCTACTTTTTCATTAATATTAAATATCTTTAGAAATAGTAAATGATTGCACCCAGAATATCACAAGAAATATTTATTGAACAAATAAATTAAAACTTTTCAATTCAAGGGTCTATCATTATCTAACCTTCTTATTCTCAGAGACTCCAATTCTTACCACCTCTCTTTCACTTATAACACACACTTCATCATAACCATTTTAACAGCAACCCTCTATTTTGATTTGGTGAATTCTAACATAAAAAATATATAACCACTTATCAAAGCACTTCAACATCTTTTTAATTATATTATCACAAGAAAAAGTCCAGGCATATTCAAGAAAGCATTGATAGTTGTGCTTTACAAAAAGGTAGACTTGATTATGGGAACTATGGTCCTATCAGCCTATTGTGTCATGTCTAAAAGCTTTTTATGAGTATCATTACAGCACGGATTAAATCAAACTTTTATGCCTCATTTACAGATCAAGTGTCAACAAAAGCAGAAATAGGGTATATCCAAGTGCTGGTCTACATTAACAGTCATGCTTAGGATCAGGAAGAGTTCTAGTCTGCTCTTGACAAGAAACAAACAGATCTGCTATGCAGTTCCAAAGCTTTTATTTTGTAATGCCAGCCACCATGTCAAGTGAGGAGTTGGTAGAAGAAGAGCTGACATAGCAGGAGTTGTCCTTAAGTATCACTGACCTACTCACCTGGATGAGCAGGTGAACCTCTGAAAAAAAAAACACCTACATATGAGAAACTGGGTTTATGTTCTTATTCCACAATGTGACATTTTTCTTTCATCATGTTGCCTTGTGAGCATACATTTCACCATTTCCCAGCTTCCAGTAAGCATCAGCAAGATCAAGGATTGAAATGTAATGTGGAGTGATCACTGACCAGTGGGTGGAAAACTTTGGTGAGAGTTGCATGTGTTTACAGTCTTATACCACTTTATTTCATGAATACTAATAATGACTTATTTTTGGCTATTTTGTTTTTCTTTACAGACTGGCAAAAAGCTTATGTTCCGTTCAGAGCCCCCACGAATGAAAAAGAAACAAGACAAGAAGTTAGACCATACAACACGAGAAGAAGAGGAATTAGCTTACTTTTTCTCAGGTATCACAGCAAATATTCTTTTCTGTTACTTTGTGTTTGTCAAGACTCCAGTTTCACTAGTGGTGCTTGTGAATTCCATCAGTACAGACCTAACAACACTGTTAGAGCCACTCTTAGCTTGCACAATACACTTCTGGCAGACAGGATCAATAGCTTCATGTGTTTTCCCCTACTCACAATCCTGACCAGCTATTTGAAAGAGCTGAAAGCATCTAACCAAAATACATGTTACCAGTCTTCTATGGTCGAACCGTGATGTTCTCTAGTGTAAGGTACGTGCAGTAACTGATGCTATGGCATCAATAAAGGTACCCTTGTTGGCTGATGACTACAGAACCATTAGGAATACAGTGTATCCTGTACAGTGTGTTCACCGAGAAGCATCAGTGTTAAAGTGGTAACTGGTTTGATGCAATATTCTCTTTTACTGAGTGGCTATTATCCCTGTTGGGGTCTGGTAGTGTCATCTTTGTATTCCCTATGGATAGCTGTAGTTTTTATTATATGCTAGTGATGTCTATTTGGAATTACCATATTTCTGATATACCCTTACTAATGTTGTTCAAGAAAAACTTTCATGGCCAAATGATGTCATATCTGCATCACAAAACTGTCACAACTACCCTACCTCTTTACCTATTATGTCACACATCTATCATCCTGCTGAGTCCATTTCTATAAGTAAAGAAAGGTGAAACCATTTAGTGTATTGCTGTCTAATGTTTTGGTACTTCAGTTTAATTGCATTTGGTGGATCATTTGTTAATAATTTTTGAAAATCTTCCTCTTTTTCAGTCTGACATATTTTGACATAAGCATCACAAAGGCTTGATTCCAGATCCAGAATGCAGTGGTTTCTTATTCCTGCTAGATAACAAATTAGAAGCATACTGAGAGATGTCTGCAGTTTGAAAAATTATAGACTATTTTGTTGTTTGCTTTCATCTACATAAAAAAATAAGAAAGATCTTTAAAAGATGAAAGCAAGAGGTCTGAAAATGGGAGATAATGAAATAAATAAATGTTTCTTCAGAAAAATATGTCAGAATTTGACAAAGATCCTTTTTTCAAGAAATCAATATAAAACAAATGTTCAAGATCAGACCATTTTAAAAGAAATTTGAATCAGAAAAGTCATCTTTTATCTAATAAAAATAATTACAATTCTTTTTTCTGAATATATGTTTACTTCACTGTGATAAGATTTGAAAGTTAATTTTCAAGCTAGTAATTAAATTTAAGACTTTTCTTAAGAGTTATACAGGGAAAGTGAGAAGAATATAAATTTACAAAATGTATCTGAGTGAATACATAACCAATAATTGTTAAAATACATTAAATTGTGAAATACAAAGAGTTTAAAATTGTTTTTGACTTTGAAGCTTTAAAATTGTGAATCAAAAACATGAGATGATTATAAAAGTAAACTTTTATTCTGAAATAACATATCAGAATGCAAAATCTGAGAAAATAATGTTTTATTAAGAAAATAATAATTACATGGAAATATTAATGACTAACAGAAAAATCTGTATTAAGTATGAAACTTACAATACAAGTTGGTTCACTGTGTCATGTCAAATAATTTTTCTCAACAAAATACATCTTGGATATTTATAAATCTACCATTCATCCATATATTAGATATTACTATATCTAGTCTGGTGCTCATGCTATATACTTCGATATTATTGACAAATCCAAAGAAGGGTCTCTAATGTTATTAGCCCTGACCTAGCATCTTGACTTCAACCATTTTCTCACCACCATAACATGGCTTCCCTCTGTCTTTTCTCTATAAGTATTTCCATTGCAATTATTCTAATGAAATTTCTTCCTTGGTACACTGACTGCATGAATTTAAATGTACTACTAGATTGACAACTAGGTCCACTCAGTTTACTGTTGAAACAGCTAGGTGTAACTGTAAGTTCTATTTCAATAGCTTCTTTTCTCATATTTCTCACTTGTGGAACTGCCACCTATGATCTTCAAAAGCTTAAGAGCAGCATCACCTCTTTCTTTCAATATGTTCTGTGAGTATTACATTTTCCAAGCCCTCTTTCTTCATTATGTGCCCTTGAAATTTCAACTGTACTAAGTATAAGTATCCTTTTTGTTTCCATTTTCTCTAAAACTTCAGCATTGCTCACATGTTCAGTCCAAGGTATTCTCAAAATCCTTATATTTCTGTTGCTTCTAGTCTTTTTTGTCCAGCATTCACTGCCAGATAGGAGGACTGATATTACATAACAGTTTAGTACTCTTTTCTTTGTTTCTAAGAAAAGTTTTCTTTTTTCTTAATACTTTACTTAGGCACTTTTTGCTATTCAAATGCACCTTCTAATTTCAGTGTGGCAGTTTCTGTCCTCTGTTAAAACACTTCCAAGATATTTAAATTTTTGTAATTGTTTGATTTTGGTATCTCCAATTTGTAATTTGCTTGTTGAGCTGCCCCTTCCCCCTCAAAATATTTAATTTCTCAAAACTGTTTTTCATATTTTGCAAGAATTCATTTTTATATTTATTGGTGCTAAGAAAATCAGGTTTGTTTTAGCTGAGCAGTAAAGAGTGAAAGAAAAAGGGATTTTATCAGTGAAAGAATAAACTTAAAACAATGTTTTCAACAACAAAGAAAAGTAAAAGTAAAAATTTTGTTTCAAATGAAAAATTGCATCTTTAACAAAGTGGACATTTTCCAGAGTTACAGTCAACACAGTAGATATGACCATTTTGGCATTCCATATTCACAGTTCTGGTTTGCTGACATTTTGAACAACGGCTTAGGTTATCGCAACCATTTCCTGTATAAGAAAAAACAAATTTATGCAGTTAAATATCTTTCTTAACAAGCAGAGTGATTAATTTCACATTTATTAAAATATTCAAATTTTCTCTATGTGTTATGTCCCTTCAGGGTATTGGCGATCATGGCTCTCCATAATTTCCTCTCCTTTGTAGATCTTGATAAATTTTGTCTTTTTGTTATCTTTCCTAAACCATGTTCTGCTATCCATTTACTCAAGCTCACTCAGTAAATTATGCATTGTTTTCCTCATTTTCCTCTTGCAAATATGTGGGTATCAAATTTTTCAAACACTCTTTCCTCATTATATACAGTAGAAATTTCAACAAACTCTTTCTGGGGGTTCTTTTTATTTCACTTTTTTTCTAAAACTTAATCATTGCTCACATGTTTGGCCCATGATATTATCAGCATCCTTCTATAGAGCAACATTTCATTTGCTTCTAATCTCTTCATCTAACAGAAGATTGTCCAGCATTCACTACCAGTTAGGAGTACTGATATTACATAACAGTTCAGTATTCTTTTTTTACTTCTAATGAAATTTTTCATGATTCTTAATACTTTGCTTAGCTTTTGGAAGGCCTTTTTTGCTATCCCAATGCATTTTCAAATTTCAGTGTCACACTTTGTGTCCTCTGTTGAAACACTTCCAAGATATTTAAATTTTTGTACTTATTTGTTTTTGGTATCTCCACCTTATAATTTGCATGTTGGGCTGTTCCTTTCCCTAACAATTATGTATTTTATTGTCTTGCAATTGATGTTTAGTCCATTCTTCACACTTTTTTTCACTACATTTTGTAGAAGCTCTTGCAGTTTCCTTTCCAACATGTCTGCTATCATCACTGTGTTATCTGCATATTCTATGTCATGATTGTGCCTGTCTATAATGAATTCTGGTAGGACTTCTAATTCTCTCAGGATAACCTCACTGTATAAGTTGAATAAGTTCAGTGAGAAGACACATGCTTGCCTTACATCCCTTTCTATTTTTGAATATTTACTGAATTCATTTTCTATCCAGATGCAAGTGGTTTGCTGCCAGAATAGGTTCTGGATTATTCTATTATCCTTCTCAAATATGTCAATGTTACCTGTCAGTTGCAACAGTTCTTTATGGTGTACTTTATGAAACATTTTTGCATAATCTATAAAATACAGGTACACATCTTTCTGCATTTGTATTGTCACAGAAACACCACTTTTTTTGCAAAGATGGAAGAAATTCTTTTTATGCCTCCTGGTACATTTATCTCACAAACAATATTTGGCAAGCTCATGTGAGTCTGAGTAAAAATAAGATATTAAACATGGATTTTAAACAAATGACAGTTAATGCATGTATTAACAAAAGAGAAAAAACAACATTAATATGTACACAATTGAAAAGGAAAAGAAGACATTAAACCTTAGCTTTAATGAATTGTGCATGACTATGTGTGTGATACATGTGTATGCATGTAAGAGTTCAGTTGTCCAACAACTGAGGAAAGAAACGTTTCCCAGATGGGATACCTTCTGCCTTTCTCTATGTTCTGTTACATCTTGGAGCAAAAGAAAAAGAGTGGATATATTTATCTTTTTATAGAATTTAAACAGTGCTGCTTAATGGACATTTTCATAAAGCCAAGTGAGTTAACCCACAGTATTGCTCTTTCTGATGGCACTCTATGCCATTGAGAAACAACAGGAATTGTATATTAATTCATTCATCACTTTTTTGGTACATAATATTTCTCATGAAAACACATCAATTCACTACAATCTAATCTTCAATAGTCAAATGACCCTAAGTCTCTACACACACTAACAATACAATTACTCATTAAAATTACAACTTGCAAGAAAGATTGTATTGAATTCATTGTGATTGCAGAAAACTTGGTATTCGAAGGATGAAAATGAAATGATACTATATAAGTATTGAAAGTAACAAGCTAGTTCCTTCTCCATTGAGCTGCTAGAGATTCATCAGAAGTGAGATTGGCTACAAGTTTTGGATCATATTGTTTTTTGGAAAATGGAGGTAATAACAGTATAGATGTTTACTAGGGATCTATGAACTTTTTTTTTAAGCATTTCACCCCAAGCAAAGCAGGAAGCCACTAGGACGCAAGGGGTTACAGAAAATTTAGAGCAAGATCAGATAGGAGTGATAGAAGAAAGGATAAGGAGGAGAGTAGTGGATAGATCAAGGCAACTGGAGATGTCAATTGACATTACATTTGAATAGCTGGAGATTATAGCTCTCAGGGAAACTGGAGTAGGGAAGGGAGTTCCACAGGCGAGAGGTGCTAGACATAAAGCTATTGGAGTAGAAGATGCGGCTACATTTAGAAGTTTCGACAGTGAAGGGGTGAGAGTGGGATGCCAGCCTCGTAGGGCGCTTGAACTCATGACGTCTGGGAACCAGCGAATGCAGCTCCTCAGAGCAATTTCCATGGAAGTATTTGTAGAACAGACAGAGGCAGGTGACGGCGTGTCTGTGAGAAAGTGACTGTAGACGAGATGCCAGAGCAGGGCCAGTTATATTGCATATCCGCCTCTGGAGCCTAGCAAGAACCCCGAGGCAAACAGAAGGGGCACCAGACCATAATGTTCCTAGGTAGATAAAATCAGACACAAATAGGCCTGTGTCTATATTTTTGAGATGAGGTATTGTAACCATTTACACTATTTACATTGTTCAGGCACATGGCCCAATGGATAAATGTGTTGGTTGAAGTAATCCAGTGACTTGGTTCAAAGAATTGTGAGTTCAATACCTGGCCACAGTAGAGGTTAACAAAATGTAGGAGACTTGAGTTACTAAAGGAAAATAACTGAAACTGACATATCAAGTCTACCATTCATCCTAGCTTTGCTTTGAATATTGCTGCCACATATGGTTCAGTGCTCTTTCTGTATATTTAGAGATGCTTGGTAAAACCCAAAGAAGAATCAGCAATATTATTAGTACAAACCTGGCATTTTGGTTTCAGTCACTTTTCTGCCAACATAATGTAAAAAAAATACCTTTTCTATAAATATTTTCATGGTAATTGTTTGAACGAACTCTTCATTATGGTACCTAGACTTTATGAATTTAAGCACAATACTAGATTGGCAACTAGGTCTCATCAATTCACAGTTGAATTGACTATTTGTAACTGTAAGTTCTATACTAATAGTTTCTTTTCTTACACTTCTTGCTTGCGAAACTCTCCTCTGGCTCCATACTTTCCAGCCGACTTTGATCTTCCAAAATTTAAATGCAATGTCAATCATTATCTACTGTCTTCCTGATTACTCTTCTATTGGTTTCACTCCTTAATAATGTTTCTCTCTTTTCTTATTTTTTCACACTCAGTAACTCTTTTACTGCCTTGAATTTGATTAAAAAAAATAAGCTGGAGGTTTAATCAAAAAACTTTTCATCATTTTAATGTAAAATTTGCTTGAGATAAATTCTTTTGTTAATATTATTAAACAAAGACTTATACTTGATAATATTTATTTTATCCCCAAATTTATAACTGTTGTAAATATATCAAATATAGAGTATAGAGTAGAGATGCTACTTGGTTTAAGTGAGAAAATCAAAGAAAGAAGGGAAGACAGAAGTGTTTAATGTACATTTCAGTTAACTGGTAAAAGTTATCAATTTCAAATCTTTTCATTTATACCCCCTTAAATCATAAATATTCATGTTGGTTGTATTTTACAAACTAAGAGAGGAATAAGCAGAATTATAAGATCATTTTTATTGCAATATTTTGTTAAAGTTGTTAAGCTCAAATATTTAACAATGTGGTAAGGGAATTTCTATAGTAATATTAATGGTAATATTAGCCATTTCCTCTAAGAAAACATTTGGCATTCATTGACTAAGCATCCAGTACTGCTTTCAGATAAAATTTATAGAATCTTTCTCTTGAAATAATTTTTCAGGAAAACGGATTTCTCAAGTCTAGAAGTTGTTATCACTCTTTCCAGTATTGATGGGGGTTTCCTTTCTAACCTTTTATTTGAAGTAGTGTGAAATCTGAACATCTTGATTGCGTCATTATGGATATTTTATTGTTGTAGAACTTGCCATAAGATTATTTAATCCCTAACTTGAGAATTAAGATTCATCAGAAAATTCAAATAAGAAAACTGTGAAATTTTCACAGGTATTTTTAGTCTTCTAATATATGAAAAGGTGAATTTATGTGAAATCCATTTCATAACTGATGAAACAAAAAGTAATTTTCTTCAACTATGGTAATTTTTTACCATTTTTTGAGATGATATCCTTTATTGTGGTGCATGTATTTTGATGTCTAAAAAGGTAACCTGAAATCTAAAGAATAGCATAAAAAATTAGAATTTATTTATCTTCCAATGACTACACAATGATCAAAATTCTTTTCAACATTGTATTTTAGGATAAAAATTCCCAAAATATCTAATCCTATGTTTTTCTAGTTGAAAAGTAAAATGAAATGAAAAAAAAAGTCAAACAAATGGAAAGCTTACTTGCAGTTTCCTGCACTGACTTCTTTAAAACATTACACGCCTTTGGATTTATGTAGTATGTTTTAGTGTCGAATTTCACAGTAAGAAGATGTTCTTCAATCTTTATAACTTCACCAATTTTGTAAATGATCTAAAAAAAAAAAAGAAGAATTTACAAAGAAATAAGTAAAACAAACAAATTATCATAAAAGAAATAAAGACAATTGTCATATTTTATCATGCAAGTTAACTTTTTACAATTCTCAAAAATGACTTACAGTCTGTTGTTAACTGGGGTAAAGAATGGCTTTTTAATTTTAATGCCTCCAAAACTAAACTGTTCTGCATTAGTCATCTGAGAGATCCCTTTCTGCCTTCCATCAGCATGGCAGATGCTAACCTCCAGGAGAGTTACAGGTTGTGCCTTCTCAGACAAATATTCTCAGCTGACATGAAGTGGAAAGATTATATTGAATCTATTGCTAGGTCTGCTGCTAAGAAAGTTGGTTCATTGTGTCATGCTAGACAATTTTTCTCTACAGAATCTATCTTACATATCCATAAGTCTACCATTCATCCATGCTTAGAATATTGCTGCTACATATGATCCCATGTTTCTGGTATATATTTAGTAATTCTTGATAAAATCTAGAGAAGAATCAACAATATTATTGGTCCTGACCTGGCATCTTGGCTTCAGTCACTTTCCCACTGCCATAAAGTTGCTTCCGTGTACCTTTTCTATAAATACTTTCAGGGTAATTGTTCAGGTGAGCTCTTCGCTATGGTTCCTAGACATTATAAATTAAAAACACAATACTAGATTGACAACTAGGTCTCATTAATTCACAGTTGAATTGATGGCTAGTTGTAAATTTAAATACAATATATAATGTTTTCCTGATTACGCTTCTATTGTTCTCACTCATTAATAATGTTTCTGGTTTCTAATTCTTTCATAGTCAGTATTCCCGTCAGTATCTTTACTGCTTTATATTAGGTGAATTTGATTTTCAAAAAATATACATTTTGTATCAACCAACCAATGTTATTCAAATTTGCAGAATATTTTCATATTTTGGGTAGAACAATAGAGCTCAACAACCCCGAAAGGCAAGTCTATCTCTGGGAAGGTACACTCTGATTTTCAATCTCCAAAAGGTTATGGAAGTAAATCCAGACAGAAAACCCAGAGTGGAGCCCCAAATTTGATTGACTGTCAACATTGACAACTTTCTGGCAACTCCTGCAGCCAAGCCAGCCTCAAATATAATGCCCTGTATTCCTTCAGATATTATTTGTGCAGTTGAGGGTGGGGTGGGGGTTGTGTAGTCTGGGCAGCACACCTCCATATGCCATCACCCAGGCCTGTGCCATGGAGCAATGTAGGCATGTTCTTTTTTGTATCTGAAAGAGCTTGCCAGTGAGGGGGAATGACACCAACTGAATACTTAGTACATGTCAACATTAATAAAAATAGGTAAGTTAAAATTCCCTGTGTTTGATGTCCTTTTATCTTTGAACCAAAACATCTAGTGATGCAACGGTCCAGAGAAGGAAAAACTCTGAATTCAAAATCTCCAACTAAGAGTAAATATTTACACTATTTACATTGTTCGAACTGTTCTCCTCATTTTTACTGTCATATTCACAACATTTTAGCTGTTATACACTCCAACCTTCTTCAGGTGATATTTGTTGAAATTTCAAACCAAACCCTTTATTTAGCCCATGGGGATAGATTGTTCTAATTCCATGTGCTATGCCTTTGAATGTCTTGGTTTTCAGTTAATTCACCTTGATAAATCTCCAAGTTTTTTTTATTATGGGTAAGTAGTAGGGAAGCCTGGAATCTGTAGCTATGGTTGGTAACTAGACTAGGAGACAGACATCTCTGAATTCAAATCCAGAGCTGGCATTCAAAGGATAGTCTGATATCATGTGCAGTTTTGTTCTGAAAACTTCTGTTACAACACCAGTGCCACGTTGTATTGGCCTCTGCCTTTCCCTTAGAGAGCATTGGTGGTTTGGAGAAGAGATATATGCTACATGGGAAACTGCTGAACTTTCATGAAAAAAAAAAAAAAAAAAAAAAAAACTGCCCAGGTCTGAGCCCTGGAGAGGGTATAATTTTTCAGGTGTAAATTCATGGTCTCTTCAGAGTGACAGATGCCATGCAGTACATTTTATCTAGATATATCTACAAGGAGAGGCTGAAAAGTTCTTGGATTAACCAAGAAGCTTTCTCTCTCTCTCTCTTTTGCTCTCCTTACTCAAAAAAAAGCCTGATGTTTATTATTTATTATTATTTCATTATACTAATGTTTCATCAATACAAAGCACAAGATTCACTGAAGTGTAAGTGAATATTGCAAGCCCAACTGAAATTGGAACTTGGCTCTCTGATTTCCAATTCCCAGCCATTATCCTTTACACTACCCACACATCTAAGATTACAGCACTTTGCATTTCTAAATGATGACCCATCTAGGTACTGACCAGACTCAACCTTGCTTAATATATAATCATCACATATGGAAACCTTATTTTCCAAGAAATTACACTCTATTAAACAACAAAGAGAAAGAAAATATTGGCAAATCTAAACTTTTTGACACAAATGTAAATTCACCTCTCTCATGTCTTCACTCCAGACACCATGTTTTTCTTGCAAACGTTTTATCTTCTCAATATCTTTTAACAATTGAATCGAATCTCCAAGCTGAAACTGAAAACATTGTTTAAATTAAAATATGTTACTAAAAAAGGAAACTTTATTGTAAAAATAAAAACAAGATGAAATTCCTTTTCAGCACCATAAACAACACAGATCAAATAAACTTAAAGCAGAGATTCTGGTACATGTTTAAGAAAAAGGCAACAACAATTCTATCTGCCATAATAATTAAAATAATCATCACAATAATTTCAAAGCAGAGAGATTTTGCATAAAAAACTACCAAAATGATAAGGTTTACACCACTTCACCAGAAAACATTCCTGAAAGTGTGAGAATGCATTTCAAGCAACAGAAACCAACTGGTATCATGGTTTGGGTTGCTGTTACATCTTGCCCTTGGTGTTCATTGACCTACCTGATATCATCAGTTCTCGACTTGGTATCTATGCTGATGACACAACTATTTACCTTGTCTTAATAATAAGTCTGATCAATTTGTTAAGGTCAAATTGACAGTTGATCTAAAAAATGACTTATAATCTATTGTTAACTGAAGCAAGGATTTTTTCTATTAATATCTTTAACTTATCAATGATCCTCTTTGATAAGTCTTGATCAAAATGCTGGCTGTTTAAGAGTATATTAGCTCACTTTTTTCTTATACTAAATTTCTCTGATACTAATTTGTTATAACTGATCTATACACCAAGGTATTTGAATTGTTTAGTATTTACTAATACCACAGACAATTTTTCTGATGGATACAGGGTATGTGCCATCACTTCATTAATATTCAGGGTATATGCCATCACTTCATTAATATTCAGGGTATGTGCCATAATATCCTCTAAGTGTGCTAATTCCATAATTTTTCCCAGGGGTTGTAAGATAGTTATTCCCTAAATATTTATGAATAGTAAAATGGTTATTTTTTTCATTTAATAATGAATAACTGTGATGAAAAATATCTTTCTTAAATGTCAAATCTAGAGAAACTAATTCTATTATGTCTGCATATATATCATTTAAATTAGATATAAAGCACTCTACTGATTGAAATGTAAGAATACAGAAGGTGCTTATCTCCCTATGTTGGAGATCAGTCATGTGACAACCACTTAGTGACATCACTCCATACAGTAACAATAGTAGCAGATAATTTTTAGATCATTTTATGGCAGCAAATCAAAAGGTTGCTTTCTTTTTAGACTGGGCCAAGGAGCCCAGAATGAGGCTAAATCTGCCTTCCCTGCCTGGGATATAGATAAATCTTGCCCATATGAATCTGGAGCACTAAACATGGCTTCTGCAGATACAGAAGTATCTCCATATTATATATGACTCTTTTTCTTTGTTCTTACACTCTGCTTTGCCATGCAGATATATGTGATTATTATGCTTGGAACATATGTATATATAGTTATGTGTATGTCTTAGTAATATAAAAGTCTCTCTGAGAACAAAGCATATTTTTCCTTTCAGTCATTCTGTTCCATCCTGTCCATGAAATTTGGGCTTATTATGTCATGGATATAAAAATGCACATAACAGAGGAAATACAAATGAGAAAATAAATCTTTCTTCTCTAGTTCTTCTCTGTTACAAAAGATTTTTAAAAAAGTACAGCATTTCATTAAAAAACTGTTTTCAATGCTTTACCATGTGATATTTATATTAAGCATTGCTAGTCAAATTGTTTTCTTCATCTAACATCTACAAAGGATAGGTGCATATTTGAAGAAAATGTTCAACACCTTAGCAGTCCTATTAAATTACAGATTTTAAAACAATATATACCATATTCTTAGAGGTCTTGGCATTGGCTTCCTGGCTTTTGCATGCTTGATCTGCAATTTTAAACAAACTTTTCAAATTGTGGTCACATTTTTTCCCTCAACATGAAGCAAAACATCAAAATAAAACTTAAAATCAAAATAGGAAAGGAAATTTACAAAAAAGGAAAAACTTGTAAAATTCTTAATAAAAATAAAACAAAAGAATTTCAAAAATGTTTTTACACTTTAGATGTTTCTACTAATAATTAAGTATGAATTTGTAGTGAGTCCTGGTAAAAATAATAAATAAAAAATAAAATATAAAATCAAAAATAAAAAGAATTCAAATTAAAATTAGGCATTTGTGTTTTCCTTTAAAACTCTTACCTCTTTCTTTTTTTCTCTTTCTCTAAACTTCTCTAATTATACTTCTCTCTCAACTAGTGAGAAGGCAACCCTCAAATAAAAAGAGGAAGAAGAAGTAAAGACTGAACCTGGCCAAAAATCACTAGAAGTTTTCAGGAGTAGAGCTTACTTATGTGTGACTGAAAAAATGCCTAAAATCAGGGAGACACGACACATAACTTCTGTTATAAAAAAAGGATAGACCAACCAGCAGAGAAGGGAAAAAAATGACACCAGGAGAGAACAGAACAAAAGAACGCAATCATACATGACCCTTAAAAAAGCAGTCAAGAGGTCATCTGCTACTGACATTTCTGCCCTGTTAAATGCTGAGAAAACGCAGTAGATTGACATCAACCTAATTTCTGAGATTACTACTATCCCTAACATGGTCTTACTTTAAAACAACCACAAACGGACATTTCACCTGACTGCTATCAATATCCACCTGATTAACAAACTTTTTGCCACAGCTGAATACCAAAGGACTTGCTCATCACACTAAAGAAAATAAATATATTATTTATTTTAGCCCTTGAGTCAATTGGTTTTTATGCCCTATGTTTCTGATGAAATAATTATCCTGCAATCTATCTAAACTGGCAACTTTCTGATATGAACATATATGCCACAAATTCAAAGACTATTTGGTACTCATTCTCTAAATTTGTGGATAAGTACCTATATTTTCATATAAATAAGTACCTATATTTTCAGTGTGTTTACAAATCAATTACATTAAAGATTTCAATCAGTTTGTTTTGTTTTGTTTTCATGTAACTGATAAGCAAGAGATAAAAAAAAAAGGCATAAATACTTTTCATTTCAGGTATGACCCTCGAAATTATTCCCAATTTACACTCCATACATAGTTTTATTTCTCTATTTCTGGATTCACATTCAACACAGAGTTTGAAATGACCACAGGGTTCAAACTTCACCAGACGACCTGCTGTTGAACAAAGCATGCAGTAGCCGTACACATTCAAGGTTTGGCTGGAAAGAAAAAGGAAACACAATAGCAAATGAGAAATACATTCATAATATTCTGATCAATGTCAAAGAAAAAAGGTGATGTCAAATCTGGAATCAACCACTCTTGTCAATATTAATCTTAATCTAAATTAATTATGTGAGTTCATTTTGATATTTAAACATGTTACATTTACTTGTGAGTTGAATATTTTAAAGGGCATTTTTTAATGAAGTTCATTTATATTAAATCAAATTTCTTTAAGGGATTTTCTAATCTTTGTTCTTAAAATTGATATGGCATGAATTTTGGATTCGAATAATATTCTTCATAGCTTTATTTCAATGAGAACTATTTTAGAAAGAATATCCTCCATGGAATGTGATTTCTAAATTTTTCTATTATTGCTGAGAAAACAGAATTGGGTTTGCAGTTAATTGGCAATTTCCAGACTCTTGAGAATTTGTTAACAAATGTTAGTCCTATTAAAAATAGATTGAAATGCTTTCAATTGATTAATTTAAAAGTATGTTTATAAATCTTCATTTTGCTAGATAAGTGAAAATATCTTAAGGAGTCAGATTATTTCTCTACATGAAAATTAATTCCAGTCAAGTTATGAATGCCAAACTATATGTAGGAATGCAAAAGGCGATTATCTTCTTTTGGTTGAGATGAATTCTCAAAGGTTATATGACAGCCACTGAGTGACATCAGTTCATAAGTCACGAAAAGTTTCAATCTCTAGAATCAAGATGAGCAGTTTCTTTTTTTAGCATAGGCAAAGTAAGACTTCTACCTGGGAAATTGCCATGATGGCAGCATACAAGCCAATAGTGCCAATTTCTTGTTGGGAAATATGTCCTCATCAGAGACATAGAAAATAAATCCAGCCTGTTCAAATTTCCATTGGGAAATATCAATGTGACTTCACTGTTTTCTCGTTGGGAAAAATATGGCTTCTTCAGAAATATAGAATACTCTGGCAGTTTGAATTCCCATTGGGAATTATTATGATAAGACTCTATGTCTCCCCCTCATTTTCACATACATGTGTTATAGTTTCTTTGTGTGGGACAAGTGTTAATATTTGTATATAATTTTGTGTATGATTTAGCAAAATAAAATCTCTTTGAGAACAAAGCATGTTTGTCATTTGTTTTCTTTCAGATATTTTGTTCTGTCCCTGTATTAAGATGTTAGTATATCATAGACTGAAAATATTCCTTCTTGCATAGCACCCCATTATACAGGGTGTTTCAAAAAGAATACGCTAAAATCATTACACTGTTTTTTCAGGTCTATAGCATTGTAGTGGACTGAATCAGTGGTTATTTGATAGAGTAGGTATCAAAGTTTGATTGGGTGTCAGTTTCACCGCTGTCGTTAGTATAACTTCCGGTGCAGCTACAAACAGGACAAACCTATCTCGAAATGCTCCAAAAATGGCTATTCACTTTACTGCAAGCAGATTTGAATGACTTCATTTTTCAGCAAGATGGAGCACCACCCCGTTGACATCTCGGGGTTAGAGCTTATCTGAATGAAAACATGCCTCAGCAATGGATTGGGAGGAGAGGTGCTAAAGACCTTGCTCTCTGTGCTTGGCCGGCCAGATCCCCGGACCTCACTGTGTGTGACTTTTTCTTGTGGGGGTATGTTAAAGACCAAGTTTATGTTCCAGCACTTCCAGCAAGTATCGATGACTTGAAAGATTGAATAACAGCTGCAATCAACATGGTGGACCGTGACATGCTGAAGCGCGTTTGGGAGGAATTCTTATATCGGCTTGATGTTGTCTGCGCTGCCGGTGGTGGCCACATTGAGCACTTATAAAACATGAAACGAAACCTGAATGTATATATAACACATGTGTTCATGCTAGAGGTTTGTAATTTTTTTCGTTTTTGACATATCACGTGATGATTTTGGCATATTCTTTTTGAAACACCCTGTATATTGCAATCATTATAGCTTGGAATGCAAGGGAAGGTTATTTACTTTTTGTATATTTTCAATAATAATATGGCATCAATATCTCTTTAAAAATTAAAATTAATCTTGCCTTTGTTTGGCTCTTTCCTGGAGATTTTTTTTCAGTGAATCATCATCAAGCATATCAAGTGGTTTCATGTTTTTTTTATTTTGAATATCTAGTGTTGCCCCATTTTCCACAAGATGGATAGCACTATCAATTGCATACTTTTCTGGAGTATATGAAATATCCTGAAGGAAATCAATAAAATACACAAACCATTGTAGAAAAAAATACATATTAATAGATTCTGAGAATTAAATGTATTAGTGAAAGGTATTCAGAGGTAAACAGAAAAGGAACATTTCATTTAAATGAAAACTTCAATTTATTAAATGATGCTATGAAGTGCATCTACATACAAAAGGTCTGTTTTTTCAGATGTCATCTTATTTGAACTAAAAATAAATATAATCAAAGTAAAGCAGTAATGATCATATAGAATACCATATATACAAACATTTGTTATTTCTTCAAGCTTTTTTTTTAATTTCAGAAGCTCTAAGGTAAGACATAGCCAAATGAATGATTCTTCTAAATCAAATTTACAAGTAATCCTATTTTGCTAAGTCAACTTATACTGAATAAATAGTTCTTTCAAAATGGTTTATATCTTCAATAAAGTTTAAAGTGAGCTTATATTTCATGTCTTTTTTTTTAACTTTGCTTATAATGAGTATAAAGCTTGTAATGCTTTCCAACAATATAACTAGAAACAATGATTTCAACATTTAAGTGAAAAAAAATATTTAAAGTGTTTCCACTGAAAAAATGTCCTGATTTCAAAAAATACTTTGAATCACATTTCAACCCAGACGACACTAAATTTAAGATACCTGAAGAAATAGAAGATATACCAATATTTATCTAATGATTACAAATTCCATCTCCAAATAGTAATAAACTTAGTGATGAGAAAATTAAGAAAGCTATTAAAAATCTAAGGAATAATAAAGCATCACTTGACATTGAGGCTGATCTTTTGAAAATAGCTTACTTTCTCATCAAATTCAGTCAGAAGTTTTTCTTTTTTATGAAAGAAGTCTAGAATCAGAAATGCAACTACAGAAAGTGGGGTTTATCATGCTTTATGGAAGCAGAACTGTAATTATAGACAAGTATATTTAAATTCAATATTTATTCTACAATATTTTGAACTGTATATTTTTCTTCATCATTGTTGAATAAGGCATCTTGTAAATGATTTGAAATAATCTTGTATTGGTTTCACTTATAGGGGAATGACTGCTAAAAACCTCCCCAAATTTATAAATAAATTGTACAGATGCATACTGGGATTTTTTCCTAGCCAATAAAATAGACCAATTCTCAGCCTCATCTGCCTTATTCTTGTTTTCTCTTGTCTTGAAGTCAGAACACTATAATGTCTTTTGTGAATTAAAACCATTCTTAGTTTGTGAACTTTTTGCCTCATTAGTCTTGCTTTGCTTACTTTTGTCTTACATATATTGTTTGATTAGTATTATTTATTTGTTCTTTTCTTTCTTTTGTTATGTTTTATTAGAAAATTTATCAGTTCTATTTGTTGGGAATTTCTGCCTATTGAATTTAACCATGGCCAATTAGTTTATATCTTGAAATAGTTAAAGAAGTGAAGATAATTATTCTAAAAATCATTGAATAATAACAATAACTCATCTCAATATTTTAAGGACAAAGTCTGTTTTGATTTCTTTAATAGTTTTTGAAGTTCCTTTAAGATAGCCACTAATGAGTCTAGTCTGTTTATGCATTACTACTAAGTAGTAAGTTCAATCCTCAATATTGGTATCTGCAGAAATGAAAAAGCTGACATGACAGCAAAGAAATCCCTAAAAATGAACTTTTTTTTACAATAATGTTCACCCTGTACAAGGCCCAGTAGCCACTCAATGTAGAGAATTACAGAGTCAGATGCACAGTTTATGGGGGTATGTAGGGAACATAAAACTTAACCCTAGACATGAAGAACTTAAGATTGTAAGGAGAGGGGAAACATCCCCTTGGGAGTCCATTCCCCAAAGCAGTGGTTTATGGGAAGAAGCTGCTCAAGTGGAACTTACATCTCACCAATAAGAATGAGGGTTGTTTGCTACAATGTGAATGGCATGGTAAATCTTAACTGCAAAGGTTAAAACTGGTGGAACCAAGGAATTTATTTTGTCTGGACAATTTCCATAGAAATAGTGATAGAGCAGCAAGAGGCTTGCAACATTTTGTCTGTGAGAAAACAGCTGTCGGGTGAAAAATAATTCATCACCCACATGGATGTGGAGAACACAAGGTACTTACTGGAGCAGTACAGGTAAGTGAATATTTTTCCAATATCATTAGTGATGGATTGTATGCATGATTTTCCCTTGAGGTCTGTATTGAGCTTAAATCCCAATAGGCATTCAAAACATGTAGCCTCCCTGAGGGAACACCCGTTTATAATCAGTGTACATTCTGGGTTTGTTCAGTGATGATGGAATATCATTATTTTGGTTTCTGAGACATTGAATGTTACCAGTTTTCCCTCCAATGAGCTTTGGTGGTGTAACTCATATACCGTTAAATCATCAGCATAGATATGCACAAAAGATCTAAGTATACTCTTAAGCAGATCATTTATATAAAGTAGAGAGAGATTTGGACTGAGAAGTGAGCCTTGGGGGATGCCAGAATTGATTATTTGGGCCTTGGAGGACAGGCTGTTTATTTCAAATTTGAAAATCACCAATACAAACTTCAAACCAACTATAAACTCATACATTCTAAATAGTGATAATATGAGTTATGGAACTATCATGCAAACAACAAATTTTGTAAAATTAAACTCATTCTAGAATGGCATCATGGTCTCAGACTTTTTGGAAGATCCATCCAGAATCAAAATAGGAGATACCTATATCACTCACTCGTTTCTCTTTAAAAAAAGTTACATCCTCCTGAATGTTCAGTATGTCAGGAGGCATATACTGTAAAACATATTCTAACTGTAGAGACCTTGCCCCTATATATCAATGATTTTATAAAGGACTTTGTAGTTAGTATATCAATGATTTTATAAAGAACTTTGTAGTTAGTATATCAATGATTTTTTAAAGGACTTTGTAGTTAGTCCTGATAAAAAAAATATATTAAATAAAATATATAAACAAAAAAGAAAGACTATTGTCTTCATCTTTGTCGCCATATTTATCACAACGTTTCGGCCGTTGTACGCTCCGGCCTTCTTCAGGTGGTTGGAATTTCGACCTGAACTCTTTATTTCGATCGCTGGGGTAGACTGTTCTAGTTCCACGTGCCATGTTTGATGGATGTCAGTTATTAGCTATCTCCTGCTAATTTTCCCTCTGAAAGTTCTCCACTGCCTTAACCGGACACATGGCACAGTGGATAAAGGCGTTGGTTAGATCCAGTGACAGACCCAAAGAGTGTGAGTTCAATACCTGGTTAAGGCAGTGGAGAACTTTCAGAAGAAAATTAGCAGGAGATAACTGATAACTGACATCCTTCAAACATGGCACGTGGAACTAGAACAGTCTACTCCAGTGATCGAAATAAAGGGTTCAGTTCGAAATTCCAACCACCTGAAGAAGGCCGAAGTGTACAACGGCTGAAACATTGTGATAAATATGGCGACAAAGATGAGGACAATAGTCCGAATAATGTAAATACTGTACATAATACCTCATCTCAGAAATATAGACAGACCCAAAAAAGAAAGAATTAAAATTAAGACAAGCATTTACACTTTCCCTTAAAACTCTTATCTCTTTTTTTTCTCCCTCACTTTAAACTTCTTTCTAAATCCTTCTCTCTCAGTTAATGAGAAGGCAACCTTCAAATAAAAAGAGGAGGGAGAAAAGACTGAACCCGGTCTAAATACACTGGAAGTTTACAGGACCAGAGCCTAAATTATGTCTATAAATCTACCAAATTTCCGCCATATAAAAAAAATGAAAAAGAAAGGAACACAGGAAAATAAAATAATTTGGGCCAATCAAAAAATTAACACAAAGAGAATTTTGATGTTAGACAAACCAAGGTTCACGGCAGAGTTTCAGAGCCTACTGAGCTAGATGATGAGAGTGATGGCAAAAGAAATGACAGAACAAGAGATGTGACTGCCAGAGAAACCATCCAGGTGTAATGCATGTAGTTAAGAGATCATCTGATAATGATATTTCTGTTCTTCTTGGGGCTGTAAATTGATGCTAACCTATTTCTAAGATGACTACTACTAGCATGGTCTGACTTCAAAACTACCCACTACCAAGCCAAAATTAACTTTCTCCAGACTGCTACCAATATCTGCCTTAGAAACAAACATTTTGCTACACGGAAATTTGAAATTTTGCAATATCAAAGGACTCACTCTAAATCAAATAAATAAAATTATATTATTTATTTTATACTCTTGAGATCATTTTATTCCCAAGTTTCCAGTAAATAAACACTAAGTTTACACTGCTCAACTCTTCACAACCTCTTTGAGAAAATAAAAATAGAGACCGTCCCAATTTACTTGAAAGACATTTTTAGTTATAGCACTAAATAACTCCATTCTAGAGATATAACTGGAGAGTGATGGAACCAACAACCTAAAGGATTTTTACAAACTATATATTTTTAAAATATTTTCAGCATTAAATAACCGACAGATTTGATAAAACAAAACAATCAATCAGTCAACCTCAATGAGTGCTTCATACAAAATTTGACATTAAATTAACGAACAAAGGTTGACATATTATCAATCAATAAACCTTGAGATTGTATTTTGCAATTAATGGCTTGATGAGAAATTGGTTCTATACTTAAGATGAAGTTTTAAATATAAATTGTCTGAGGCTTTTTTTATTTTCTTCTTCCATAAATGTTAATATTGACTTACCTGTTCCAAGAAACTTGACAGTGTACACTTGGGGTCAAGGGCTGCATGAAGAGCTGTATTTCCATCATTATCTTGGGCATTGATATCAGCTCCTTCAGACACCAGCAATTTCACTATGCTAAGATGGTTTCCTAGAGCAGCCAACATCAGTGGAGTTGAACCATTAATTGTTTTAATATTCAATTTAGCTTTGCCCTAAATTTTGAAGAAATAAATAAATTTGTAGATACTTTTGTTTTTAATTTGGTGAATTAATGTTACAGAACAGAATTATTCTATCTTAAACTCAAATTTACCTTCAACATGGACAATTAAAGAAAATATGCAAGAGGCATGTATTTTATAATTTGTGTCCATTATTTATTAACACCTTGAAAACTGATTGGACAGTTACTTAACTTTATTGCTATATCTTAAATATGTGATTAGTATATGAATTAATTTCATCAGAAAGATGTCAAATGAAACACATCACTACTGTCTTTACACGGAATGTTTTTTAAGCAAAAGTGATAATAAAATTTAACAGTACATATGATCACACATCAGCCCTCATATTCAAAGGAGATAAGTTATGATAATAGACTTGAAAGTAAAAACAAATTTAGTTCAGCTTCATTTGCATAGAAACAAATACAACAAATCCATTATTTCTCAATATTACTAGGTGAAAAGATTTTATATAATCACCGAGAGAGACAAGCACATGATAATCAATATTTGTCTATATTTCTCAGATGAAATATTGTAACTTACACTATTTACATTGTTTAGACTATTGTCCTTATATTTGTTGTTATAGTCATGTTTCAGCCATTTTATGCTCCGTTATTTTCAGGTGATTAGAATTTTGAACAAAACCCTTTATTTCATCCACTGGAGTAGATTATTCTAGTTCCACATGTCATGACTCTTCTAGATATCTTAGTTTCAGTTATTTCCCTTTAGCAACTCAGCTTTTCAGGTTTTTGTCCACCTCTACTGTGGTCATGTATTGAACTCACAGCTCTTCAGGTCAAGTTACTGGATTACTTCAAGCAATGCTTTCATTCACTGAGCCGTGCATCCAGAAGAGGCATGACACATTGAGCTAAAACAATCTACCCTGGTGGACGAAATAAAAGGTTTGGTTCAAAATTACAATGACCTGGAGAAGGCCAGAGAGAAAGGTCATGAATATGACAACAAAGATGAGGACAACAGTCTGAATAATATAAATAGTGTAATTAGTTACATGATAATCAGTTCATACACATTTCAGTCAGTGGTTATTTTAAGCAAAATCAATAGATGATACATCCTAGTGGTAAACATCTTGACCCCACTGTGATCATGACTAAATAAGAAGAATATATAACATTACATTTCATTTCTTTAGTCAATGCACATTATTTACTATAATTTAAAATATTTACTGAATCTATAAAACATTTCATTGATGTCTTTTGTAACTTTTTTAAACTGACTTACCTTTTTAATCAGCTTCTCTGCGACATCAAATTTGTCATACATAGCAGCAAAATGGAGGGCAGAGAACCCACTATTGATTTGAATATCAACAAATACAGAATCATTTTCCAAAATCTTCATCATGGTTCTATAATGATAATAAGAAGAAATGTCTTTAGTAAATTAATTCATTTGTGAAAGAAAAGTTTGGTTTTTTACTCTAAAGTTCCTATTTTTTGTTTGATGTCTTATCACTTCTATTAGATATTCATAAACACTCTCTTGCAGAAAAAGAATGAAAAAGTATCAATTGCATTCAAAATAAGTGTGTGCTAGTACAGGAGATTTTAAATACAGATAATGAAAATGTTTACTTGTTTGACAATATAAAGAGAACTAGAACAATTCCCTGTATATACACCTGAGGAAGGGCAAAATATCTGAAATGTAATGATAACAACAACAAAAATGAGGACAATAGGCTGAACATAAATAGTGTAAATAATGTTAATTCCACATCCCAGAAATTTAGACAAAAAATATGAGTGTGGAACAGAAAAAGAAATAATTTTATTTTAAATTTTAAAGAAAAAACAATGAAATTCAATATCTGTTTATATTTCTGAGATGAGGTATTATGTACATTATTTACATTATTAATTTGGTTTGATAGAATTTCATTGAAAAGAAAATGCTTTATCACTTCCTGCATCCTTCATAATAATTTCATTGTCTACATTATTCGGACTATTGTCCTCATCTTTGTCGCCATATTTATTACAGCATTTCGGACAGAGCGTACAACAGCCAAAACGTAATAAATATGGTGACAAAGATGAGGACATTAGTCTGAATAATGTAGACAATGAAAGTATTATGAAGGATGCAGGAAGTGATAAAGCATTTTCTTTTCAATGAAATTCTATCAAACCAAATTAATAGACACACAATTATTGCAACAGGAACTTGTCTCAAATGTATCACATTATAATAATGAAAATAGAAGTTTTCTCGACTTACTTAACATCTCCTTCAGTAGCTGCCAGGTGAAATGCACATTTTCCCTCTTTATTTGTTTTTGTGAAGTCAATGTTCTTATGACTCAGCAAAATCTCTATTATATCTGATTTTTTCAGCATAATTGCCAGTCCTAAAGCTGTATTTCCATCATTATCCTGGAAATAAAAATATCTTTAATAATGCCTTTCCTATAGTCTTCATAGAAAGACATACTGTGTAGGTAATAGTGTTTTAAATGATTTTGTAGTTGTCATTTTAAAAATCTCTATCTATAAAAGGCAGGATGTGTGTGTGTGTGTGTGTGTGTGTGTGTGTGTGTGTGTGTGTGTGTGTGTGTAATGAATGCACAGCTGCAATTTTCGACGGATTTGCACCAAAATTTACATGCACATGCTCCAAGTTAGCGGGAAGGCTAAGACTGACTTTGCATTACCCAACTCCCATTGATAGTGGAAATAATCGATTTTTTCATGCTTCTACAGCAGTTTTTGTGTAGTTTGCGGCCATTTTCTACTGGTCAGAGTGAGAGCCTATAGCTGGCTGCCATGAATAGGCAGGAAGATTCTATTGGCCAGCGTGAGAGCCAACAGCTGACTGACACAAATGTTAACTTGCATGCTAGCATGCAAAAAAAGTCGATAGCTGCATTCGTCACAAGTGGGAAAAATTTAAATCTGCATGGCACGTTACTCCAATTGGCTCATTCACTTGCTTAAACTCAACATTGATTCTGATTCCGCAGAACTGGGTTGGGTGTGAAAAAGTATTTGTTGTTAACATTCTTTTTTCATTTGGTTTTTCCAGTTATGAGTCCTTTTTTAAAGCTGATCGTTTTGTGTTCATTTTGTTTAGTTCTTTTTTCGTAACAGATTTAATGTTTAGTATAGAGCTTAGAAAAAATTTGCAGTGTGAGATAGGCAAGAAGTAAAGCATGTAGCAACATCAGCATGGCAAAGGGCACTCCTTTAAAGGCAAGGAAGGGCAAAAATATTTTAAGTGATAGCGATTGCTGTATGAGTTGTACAGTTTTTGAATTAAGCACGGTCAATGCCGGGCCATGCTGCTAGTATTATTTATTATATGATGAATGTAATAAAAACAGTTACTGTTAAATGATTTATGATTTGTTTTTTATGGCTTATCAACATTTTTCAGGTTATTTAAAGCCAGAAAATATTTTTTATTGTAAGAATTTTTTTGAGATAATAGTGAGTTTACTGATACAAATCCTACTGATTAACTCATAGTTAGGGTGGAAAAGAGGTGGGTTCCTAACTTTCCTAAGGGTATTGTATGTAAGTGAATATAATGAACCTGACTGGAATTGGAACTCAGCTCTCTGACTTCTAATTCCAAGATGTTGTCCATTACACCACCCACACAACCAAGCTTACAGTACCTGGTATTCCCAAGCTGTCAACCATTTAGGTACTGACCAGACTTGATGTTGCCTAACTTTGGTAATCATATAAGGACTGGTATTTCAATGAGATATGGCCATAAGACAGTTAGTGTTAAAATGAGATCATAAAGTTGCAACAGAATATTGGTTGAGAAAGTGAGAGAAAATGGTGCTGATAAATACAAATGATTACCATAATTGAAAAAAGTGTAAAGAAGCCTTTATAATAAAAGAACTGATTATTGTCTTTTAATACAAACCTCTATGTTGATGCTGTTCAGTAATTCTTTTACACATTGCTCTGAATTTTTTGTAACAGCAATGTGAATTGGTGCTTGATTCCTTTTATTCAAAATATCTTCTGTTGCACCCTTGGATATCAGAAATTGTATTGTTTGGTGAAAATTCCTAAAAATAAACAGTTTAAACAATAACAAAACATAAACTATATCTACACACCGATTCCAGGGTCTTACTTTATTTTTACTTTTTAAGTCTAGTTCAATCATATACATAAAAATATTTACTTTTTAAGTCTAGTTCAATCATATACATAAAAATATTTACTTTTTAAGTCTAGTTCCATCATATATATAAAAATATTTACTTTTTAAGTCTAGTTCAATTCTAAATGCAATAATTTTTACTTTTTAAGTGTAGTTTAATAATATATGCAGTAACTTTTACTTTTTAAGTTTTGTTTAATCATATATACAATAATTGTTACTTTTTAAGTCTAGTTTAATAATATATGCAATAATTTTTACTTTTTAAGTCTAGTTCAAACATATATGCAATAATTTGGGCAAAGGTGCAAAACATAATCTGTTCCACATAGTCTACTTCTATCCATACTGAGCTTTTGGAATTATAAATTTATTTTCTAAATTACATTAAAATGATGAGAGCCTAGAATCATAAAAAAGCTAGACAAAATAATTTTTATATAATATAAAAGATTTTCAACTGGACTCTAATCACCATAAAAAATGCTATAATATATAAACCACAATATATAACAGCAATGTAAATTGATGCATGTTTCTTTTTACTCAAAATGTCTGCTTTTGTCCCCTTACTTAGCTGAAGCTGTACTATTTGGAGCTTATTCCTAAAGAGAAAATGAATAGTTGCATAAAAAATAAATCTTTGAGACACAAGCTAAACCAAAACATTCTGTATATGGTTTTCACCAATTTACACCTTTTATCCTAATTCAAATACATGAAATAATCTGAACAAAGACACAAAAATTAATCTATTGTAGACAGTTTATATCTATCTATACTAAGCTTTTTGAAATTTTATATCTGTTCTCTATTACTGGGTTCGAAGTTTGTAGCATTTTTCAATATACAACATTTGAACATGTGATTTTAAATTTCTCTGATGGAAAGAACTTCAATTCTCTGGGCACTTGTGAAAACCACTTAGACTAGTTCATGACCCAGAAAATTGCCAGGTTCTGGGAGGATGTAATCATGAAACTGCCTCAAAGATGATGAAAGATAGTAGAACAAAATGGCACATATGTGGTTGAATAAATCTATATACAAATATCTAAGTATTGTTTTTGAAATTCACTGAAAAATGTTGTGTATTAATGTTGAATTGTCTGAGGTGAGTCATTTACATATGAAGTCACAAAGAATTTAAATAGCTATGGCTATTACTCATGAGGCAGTTGAGTGCATACCACTTACCATGAGTCAGTAACACTGCACTACAATGGTATCACCAATATCTAAAAAACATGATGAACAATTATCACTTCATAATTATGAATATGCACAAGTGTTACCTAGGATACTAGCAGCTAAAGCTAGAATGAAAAAGCTACAGGATTTAAAATCAGTCAGAGGTGAAAACCAAATAACTGATCTTTTGTTGGCCACTGCTGGTTGCCATCATAAAATAAGGAGTACCGGCAAATGACTCTAATGCATTTACAACTGAGAAAGTTGTCACTAGAACAATGTATTGTATTTGTTCAGCAACAAGAATTGGAAAATTTAATAGAATAAAAGTTATGTATCTGGACACATACGCAATAAAGAAAAAAGATGAAATAATATGTACTTTTTGTGGATATCAGCATCAAAGAGAAAAACAAAAATGTCCAGCATATAAAAAAATGAGAAAAGTGTTTCAAAATGAACCATATCAAATGTGTGTGTAAATCCCAAAGGAAAAAGTTAGAGATGGTCCAACAAAATGGACAACAAACAAATATGGACATCTTTTCATTGAAAAAAAATAATGAGAGTTATTAAAGATTCAAATCAATAATGTTTTATTGGACATGCAACTAGATACGGGAAGTGACATGACATTTATATCCAGAAATTTCTGAAAGAAATTAGGAAAAGCAAGATTAAAGAAAAGCCATATCCAATTGATTCAGTTTGACAAATCCATGATAAAAACAGGCTATTTTCAATCCTATGTGGAACTAATATATAAATATAAATTGGCATATTATCAATTATCCTAACAAACTAAAAAGAATTACTGTCTAATAGGATTGAAAATAGCTTGTTTTTATCACGGATTTGTCAAACTGTATTGAACATAAATTCAACAAAATTGGTAAACAATGCTAAAGCAGAAGAAACAAGAAATGTAAAAAACTATGAAGCAAAATTAGGACTAAAGGAAAATGTATGCCCCTCCCCATATTTCCAAACATGAAAAGTGCCAGTCCATCTATTACCAACAGTTGTAAAAAAACTAAAGTATGAAAATATTCTCTAAAACTGATCTAAAATCAGCATACCATCAAATACCTATTGACGAAAACTTTAAAGAATTCACAACAATATGTCAATGGAAAAGAATGCTGTATGGAATTAAGACTGCAAGTGCAATTTTTCAAAGGGCTATAGTGCAAGTTATTGGTAGCAGTATAAAAAATATATTATGCTACCAGGATGACGTTTTTGTTGGTGCTAGTAAAGATGAAGAATTAAACAGAAAACCAATATGATGTTGAATAAGTTAAAAAATGCTGGGTTAACAATTAACAAAAAAAAATGTGTGCACAACACAAAAAAATACCATTTTTGGGATATTCCATATTTAACAAAGGCATATCACCAGACCAATTATAAATTGACAAAATATTAAAAGTTGAAATACCTAAGAACAAAAAAGAATTGGATTCTTTCTGAGGACTTGTAAATTTCTACAGATGATATGCAGAGCAATATTCCAAATTGACAGAACCTTTTGTTGCATTAAGAAAAAAGAATATGGAATTTATTTGGAAAAAAGAATAATGAGTGGCATTTGAAAATTTAAAAGCAGTTTTGGCAAAGAAACCAGTAGTAAAAATATTTGGTCCTAGAAAGGAATTAGTAGTAACAAATGTTACAAGTGAACACTCAAATTCAGGAATATTAGCTCAGGATGGTCATCCTATTATGTATCTTTCAAGAAAATTGTCAAAAGCCAAAGTGAACTACTCAAATATTGAGAAAAAATCATTGGCCATAACATGGATGACAAATAGAGCTTGTCTGTTTTTGATTGGAAAGAAATTCCTACATAGGTATAACAATAGATTTTTAGAATTCATATTTCATCCTAGGAAGGAATTTCCTAAGGTAATGTCTTCTAGAATTCTAAGATGGACCTTAATGTTAATGGCATTTGACTTTGAGTACATGAAAGGCAATACCATTCTGCATGATGATGCATTGTTGAGATTGATGTTTATTACTTCTGAAAAGGAGAAAAAAATTCAAAGATACTTTCTTACACTGGGTTGAAACTGATATTTTGCTAATAGATAAATTAGCTGAGGATATGAATTGAGATCCCATATTAAACAGTATATTGTTCAGAATAAAAAATGATAAGTGGAATAATTGCTCACAGGCCAAAAGGCATTTCAAAGTGGTTAAATAAAAGTTAACTGTAGAATAATGGTGTAATTTATAATGGAGACATATTGGTTCCACCTGCAATGCAAAGGAGAAAAGTTATAAAAAGTATACATGATGATGTTCATTGCAGAATAATGTTTAAGCAAAGGAGATTAAGGATAGAGGTATGATAACCAGGCTATTCTACAGAAGATTTAGACAGAAAAAACACATGCATGTCCTAAAGAGTCCCAACTTGAGATAGAGGATACATGGATCATGCTCATGTCAATGGAGTTGGATTATTACTAATACTGGTAGATTCGTATTCAGGATGGCCAGAAGTAATACAGATCTCCAGCAAAAGAAGTTTGACTGTGAAACAAGCATTAACGATCATACTTTCAAGAAATGGAATTCTGAAAATACTAGTATCTGAAATCGCGCCAGAGTTCTGTGAAGAAGTATACCAATGGTTGAACAAATTTGGATGCAAACCATATACACCTCCCCTCCCCTTACCATTCACAATCAAAGGAAGGATGGTGCAAACTATAAAAAACAGACTGAAAATATGTGTACAATGGAAAGCAAAAATAGAAACATTTCTTCTTAGGCTGTTGCTAAGTTATAGGATAATACCACATGCTGGAAGATCAAAAAAAAAGTCTATCTGCCTTTATTGGTAGAAAAATTAGAGCCTCATTGACCATGTCCTATGATACCAACGAAAAAATTATGGAATAAAAAGAATAGGGAATATAATCTATAAGAGGAAAGATTCATAATGCAAAGTCGACAGAACACTATGATAATAAAAAAAAATGGAAATGGGATATTAGGGCATGCAGACCAAATTAGATTGCAACATGATAATGATGAAGAAATGTTTAGTGAGCCTGAAAGTGATGAAGGCGAAAGTGTCATGTCAAGGCAAGGCAAACATGACAGTGAAAATTGAAAGTAATATAGACTCTGAAAAGGAGTTGGAGGAACATTCCTATGACCAAAGAAAAAAGTCAAGGTCTCCTATATCTAGGCAATCTCTTAGAAAGAGAGAGGAAGATTATGAAGAGACAAAAGCTTCCAGAAGTACCAGAGGAAATAAGGTGATAAAACCACTTTGACACAGGCAGGTGAGGTAACTCATTTACATATAAAGTCCCAATGTCTATAAATAGCTACAGCTATTACCCATAAGGCAGTTGAGTGCATACTACTCCCTGTGAGTCAGTCACACTACACTAACATTATTTTATATTTGTACACAGTTATGTTTTATACAGTATAGTTTTTGTGTTCAAATAATAAAGATGGCAGATAGCTAACGTGTTGCATTTGCTCTGTGATGTGTGAACAAGACTAACATTGTGGACTTTTGCTCTGACCCAATGTTAGTGGATTAAAGTATAAGAGACCAGAATCGGTAAAAAAATGCTTGACAGTAATATTTATATAGAGCAAAATTTTTCAATCAAAAATTAATTTCCATCAAAGAATATTATAATACAATTTATTGAGTCTTGATCATACTTACTTTATTACTGCAATGTGCAAGGCAGTATTACCATCTTCATCAGTTTCATTGATATCGGCACCTTTTTCTAACTCTTCTTTTGTTGGTTCCTCATCCTTTTTAAGAATGTTCAGGTAAAGTTCTGTTTGTTGCTGGCAAAATATGTTATACTGGAATTAATTCTTTTGAATTAAGTTATAATACAATATTAGTAAGAAAATATAGTTCACATCAAAGAGTCCTTTAAGTTAGAGACTCAACAAGAAATTATTAACTAATGAGGAAACAATAGTTGACTTATGGAAAAGCAAATATTTCTATTGCCACTTATGAATTTAGAATGATTTATATGAGGTTTTTTATGTCATTATTGCTCAATGGGAACCTCGCAAAAAATGTTTTAAATTTGGGAAAACTCAAAAGGTACTAAAAACATATTCATCTTTCTCCACAATCATATTTTCCTGATGTATTTGTTCCTTTTTATATATATATATATATATATATATATATATATATATATATATATATATATATATATATTATTTTTAAAAATTTGATTCCTTTGTTACATTGGAATTACCATGTTTCAAAAACGGAAGCTAAAAACTTCCAATTCAATTATAGAAATTAAATAAATTAAAGTACTTTGTTCTGTTTCATTTTCAAGTGCTTGAAAATGTAGCGAAGGAATCAAAGTTTTTAAAAAATAATTATAATATTGGCTCTACTTTTGTATTGAGCACTGTTTTTTTAAAAATAAAAACAAAAATACTAAAGGACTTCGGATTATCAATCTAATGGTTCTTTCCTATTTTATCAATATATTTGCACACACACACATACATACATACATATATATATATATATATATATATATATTTGTGTATTTAGGCAGCAATCCTTCTTTCATGCACATTTGAAGTATTGAATACGACTGACAAGGTGCATTGATTTAGTTTTTTATACAATTTCTCATGTGATCTAATAAATTTTTTCTTTTTAGATGATAAACTGTCCAATTGTTCCTTTTATCTGAGCACTTTCAGCTATACATTTAGACACTTTCAAGGTTGAAATATATAACTGTTAACAAGAAATAGTTTTTTATATGTATTTATATAATGTTTTCATTTTCAAAACACAGTCAAGATATTGTGTCCATGTTCATAGTTGATATTATGGAGTGTTGTTTTTTGTTTTTATTAATAAGGCTTCCATTAATTTTAGCCTTTTTTGCATATAGATGATTCTATTAGGTTTATGTTGTCAACCAATATGTTATGAATAGGATATATATATATATATATATATATATATATATATATATATATATATATATATATATATTCTCTACATGCTTGCAATTTTCATGATATTTTCATGTCTCTGGTTTGCATAGCCACTTGCATCTTAGTGACTTTATTGCTTTGCTTTCAGGGCTCATATTCAAGTACTTTAATATATGTAGCAGTCATGTCCAGTTTATGCTCTCATCTACTATAGAAGAAAATAAGTGAGAGCTATTTCAATGAAATATCCCCAAATGGTCATAATGTTGATAATGATGTTTTGTCTTCAGTAATATTATTATTATCATCATCATCATCATTACCAATCGGACTCTGAATTACCACCAGTCACAGTGAATGGATGTTCCCTCAGTAACTATTGAGCCTTAAACTCAACACAGACCTCAAGTGGGACTTATACATATGTTTTATTGCTAAAGATGCAGGAAAAATGGTCAGTTCCCTGTACCACTTCTGTAAATTCCAGACTCTTCATGCTGTCCTCTACATTTACAAGTGCCTGATCAGACCTAAAATGGAGTTCTGATGTCATACCTGGGCAGGAGCTGTGCAGTTCCCATTCTCAACTCTCAATATAGTCTAAATGCATCATCGCATACTTTTTTTTTTTTTGACAAATTCTTTTCCAGCCTCTCACAGATCAAATATTGCAAGCCTCTAACTTCTCTATTGCTACTTCTATGGAAAGTAGTCAGACAAACTACATTCCTTAGTTCCACCAGTTCTAACCTTCACAGCTAGGACCCACCATCAATCACTACAACCTGTTCAAATCTCGGGTTAATCTTTATCTTCCCCATATATCTGCATAAACTGTACCTCTTACTCTGTAACCCTCTACTTTGAGTGGTTCTTAGACCTTGTACAGAGTGAACATCAGTGTAAAAAAAAAATTACCATTACTACCATCAATATCTCTCATGACTTTACTTCCCATCATATTCTTTCTTTCAATGCAGTAAAAAAATCATAAAAAAGTATTTCAATTTGCTACTTTTTTTTATGCACATACTCATGCACATCAACACACACAGACACAAACACATGAAAATAAAATTATAAATAAAAACTTACTGATGTACCAACACTTGGCATCTGGTCATCTGTGGGCAAGTAATAGGTATTTCATCAGCAACACATACATGCAGGTGGAGAGAAAAATGGAAAAATGAAAGAGAAATAAGGTTAATAATAGATAATAACAGGAAGAAATGTGTTCTATGACAGTGCTACTCAAAGTGAAGTATGCATACTGGTGTCAGTACATGAACCATTGTCTGCTGGTATGCAAAGAGTTTCCATTTTTTTAATCATTTCACCCCAAGCAAGGCAACAGAGTCACTAACATGTAGGAGATTACTGAGTGTGGAAGAATATCAGAAAAACATTAAGAAGAGAGACAACAATAAAAGAACAGAATTTAAGAGGACAGAAGATAATGATTGACATTGCTGTATTGAAAACTCAGAGTCTAGTTTGGTTTAATGTGCCTTTATTGAACATAACTGAAGAGTCTTGCCATTTTGGCTAAGATGGCATGACTTATTTATAGAAATCATAAGACAGGGGAGGTAATTGGGTTGGCTTACCATAGTTGCATTTAAATTTTTGAAGTAGAAAGTTGACTGAAAAGCAAAAGGCTGGCAGAGAGTTCCTCAAGAAAGAATGTGCTTATGTGGGCCTGAAATTTTGTCGAAACCCAAAGTGGGTGACAAGAAAGAAAATGCTGAAAAATACTGTTCTAGAGTATATTTTTAAGTGTGTATTTTGTTGTTGTTATTGTCTCTATTTGAATCCATTGTTGGGGTGGGGGTATTTGACAGAGTGAGGAGTTCTCTGTTTATTCAGTCTCACATTATTTTTGTCTGGTGAACTGAGAAAAGAGTGCTGAACTGTTATATCTGTCTTTCTGTATAGCAGTAAATGCTGGACAATCTCCTCAAAGATGAAAAACAGACTTGAAGCAACAGAAATGTGGTTCTACGGAAAGATGCTGAGAATACCATGGACCAAACACATGAGTAACAATGAGGTTTGGGAGAAAATGGAAACAAAAAGGAAACTTATAATTAACATCAAAAAAAGGCAGTTGAAATTTCTGGGGCACATAATGAGGAAAGAGGGTTTGGAAAACTTAGTACTCACAGGACAGATTGAAGGAAAGAGGGACAGAGGAAAGGCAGTGCAAAACATACTTGATGAGCTTGAGTAAATTGATGGTAAAACAGGGTTTTGGAGAAATAGCAAAAAGACAAAATTTATTATGAGCTACAAAGGACAGGAAGATGTGAAGGACCATGATTGCCTACTTCCTGAAGAGACATGGCACATTTTTTGCATCAAAAACAGATCATAAAAATTCACACTATACTCAAGTATATACAGCTTACAGTCAAATCACGCTGGAACACCGGTTCTTGTACGATCACCGAAGTTAAGCAGCGTAGAGCCAGGTCAGTACTTAGATGGGGGACTGCTTGGGAACACCTGGTACTGTAAGCCCCCAAAGTCCAACCTTACCTCACAGTCGGTGGGGGGGAAACAACAGTAGTGTCAGAGCTATGCCGCCCGGAACTTCGTTCCTGGTAGGGCCACCCAAGGCGGACAGGTCTGGCACACACGCCCGCCTAACAAGGGCTCTGGTGAAAATCCAAGGAGCATCTGCATCGGTAACCGGCGGCTTCTGGTCGTTCCTGTCTCTGCGTCTGTGGGAACCCCATATTCAAGCAAGAACGTTATCCGAGTAGGCCTGGGTACCCTACTTCTGTAATTTATCCCAAGAATCTTCTTCTCATAACAGGAAGAAGCCGGCTCAATCCGCCCAGGGTGAATGCCGCATCAGTACAGTTCAGTACAGTACAGTACAGTACAAGTATATACAGTATAAATTTATTGTGTTTTTCTAATTTTTTTTAATTCCTAAAATGAATATTTTTTTCACTTCATGCTCTTTTACTAATACATCAATACATCATATATTTAGCAAAAATTGAAAATTTCAAAGTCTAAAACGAGTGCCCAGTAAAAAAGTTACTATCTAAAAGAAATCTGGATTTGAAGCAATAATTATTTTGTTTTCATTTTGGTAAAAGGCAAAATAAAAATGTGAAAGACAAACTGACCTGTTTCAAAACTTGATGGTTCTCTTATAAGAGTACACAGCAAAGGGTTGAGACACCAGGATTCACCACAAGTTCTTAATTGAATATCATTATTACTAAGAACATATTCCACTTGAGCAACTTCTCCCAAAATCTATTTGTAATAAGAAAATGTCTCTGTATCTTAAGCCAATCAAGTGATTCTTAGAAAATATCAGAATTCTATCTTTTCAATTATTTGTACCTATGTAGAGAATTTTAAGGCAATTAATTGTTCTTTTAATTTCTTATAACAATGGCAATTGCTTTTAATATGAACTTCTAAAAAGAAATTTTCATGAAATCAATTCAAAATTTAGTTAAACAAAGTATTATTTGATATGCTACTGATGCATTCAGACTTTCAATTTTTCCATTGCTCAATCCCTTACTCAAATCATGAATTTCCCTCTACTCAATTCCCTTTCAAATCTGTATAACATGCTTCTTTACATGATTTATTTCTTACTTCCTCTTCTCACTCTTGCTGAGCATTGCAACACTGTCCTCTTTACAACTCAGATCACTCTATAGTATCTATTAATATCTCATTCTAGTCATCAATTAGACAGGAGCTTCCTATTCTTTCCATTACCAGCATATTGATTGGGATTCACTCCATGACTTTCTTTGAGACAGCTTTTGGACTGACATTTTTAATATTTAGAATTGAGTCATCGCCAAGAATAAGGAGAATTTGACGAAAATGCCAAACCTTAATCCAGTTACCAAGAAAGAATCATCTCTTACTTAGCAAATTCTGTACAACTCCACTAATTGATAAACAGAACTAAATGACATAGGATAATGTTATTCCAACAATTAAATGTATCAATTGAAAGATAAATAACTCAGACAGTTACCATTGGAAAGCTGAAAAGTAAATTAAGTTAAACATTTAATACAAAAGATATTAAAATAAACAATGAAAATAAAAGATTAAAAAAAAAAAATTTGTATAATGAGGTGGCAATGGTGATAAGCTGTTACACTGTATCTATGGAGGATAATGGGTATGTCCCAATTCCTATAAATACATTGGTATATACTATATGTTGTCTTCCACTTGGGATTCACCTTGATTCACTTCTAGCTCACCACTAGCAGTTGATTATTTACTACACACCACTGGCAAATCTTGTATGTTGTTCCTGTTATAAATATTATCGTTCCATTTCCAACCTTCATTTTGATTATTCTTATTCAGTAACCTTTCCCTAGGTTACAAGATAAGAGCAGATCAGGATAATCATGTCCCAATTCCTATAAATATTTTAGCCAATCATATATATGTTGTTGTCTTCCACACTTGGGATTCACCTTGATTCACTTCTAGCTCACCACTAGCAGTTGATTACTTACTACATACCACTGGCAAATCTTGTATGTTGTTCCTGTTATAAATATTATCGTTCCATTTCCAACCTTCATTTTGATTATTCTTATTCAGTCACCTTTCCTAGGTTACAAGATAAGAGCAGATCAGATGTGTGCACCCCATATTTGGCTATTTTGCCAATCATGTCTCAATTCCTATAAATACATTGTATATACTGTGTTGTCTTCCACTTGGGATTCACCTTGATTCATTCAGCTTCTAGCTCACCACTAGCAGTTGATTACTTACTACACACCACTGGCGAATCTTGTATGTTGTTCCTGTTATAAATATTATCGTTCCATTTCCAACCTTCATTTTGATTATTCTTATTCAGTCACCTTTCCCTTACAAGATAAAGCAGATCAGAATGCTGCACCCCATATTTGGCTAATTTTGCCAATCATGTCCCAATTCCTATAAATACATAGGTATATACTGTATGTTGTCTTCCACTTGGGATTCACCTTGATTCACTTCTAGCTCACCACTAGCAGTTGATTATTTACTACACACCACTGGCAAATCTTGTATGTTGTTCCTGTTATAAATATTATCGTTCCATTTCCAACCTTCATTTTGATTATTCTTATTCAGTAACCTTTCCCTAGGTTACAAGATAAGAGCAGATCAGGAATGATGTGCACCCCATATTTGGCTATTTTGCCAATCATAATCAATCGTATGTTGTCTTCCACTTGGGATTCACCTTGATTCACTTCTAGCTCACCACTAGCAGTTGATTATTTACTACACACCACTGGCAAATCTTGTATGTTGTTCCTGTTATAAATATTATCGTTCCATTTCCAACCTTCATTTTGATTATTCTTATTCAGTCACCTTTCCCTAGGTTACAAGATAAGAGCAGATCAGGAGTGATGTGTGCACCCCATATTTGGCTATTTTGCCAATCATATCATTCGATAAATACATTTCACTGTTATATTCCACTTGGGATTCACCTTGATTCACTTCTAGCTCACCACTAGCAGTTGATTATTTACTACACACCACTGGCAAATCTTGTATGTTGTTCCTGTTATAAATATTATCGTTCCATTTCCAACCTTCATTTTGATTATTCTTATTCAGTAACCTTTCCTAGGTTACAAGATAAGAGCAGATCAGGAATGATGTGCACCCCATATTTGGCTATTTTGTCCAATCCTATAAATACATCGATATACTGTTGTCTTCCACTTGGGATTCACCTTGATTCACTTCTAGCTCACCACTAGCAGTTGATTATTTACTACACACCACTGGCAAATCTTGTATGTTGTTCCTGTTATAAATATTATCGTTCCATTTCCAACCTTCATTTTGATTATTCTTATTCAGTAACCTTTCCCTAGGTTACAAGATAAGAGCAGATCAGGAATGAAGATATTTGGCTATTTTGCCAATCATATCATCGATGTTGTCTTCCACTTGGGATTCACCTTGATTCTAGCTCACCACTAGCAGTTGATTATTTAAGTTCCATTTCCAACCTTTTTGATTATTCTTATTGAATGATGTGCACCCCATATTTGGCTATTTTTTGTCCAATTCCTATAAATACATATCATCGATGTTGTCTTCCACTTGGGATTCACCTTGATTCACTTCTAGCTCACCACTAGCAGTTGATTATTTACTACACACCACTGGCAAATCTTGTATGTTGTTCCTGTTATAAATATTATCGTTCCATTTCCAACCTTCATTTTGATTATTCTTATTCAGTAACCTTTCCCCAGGTTACAAGATAAGAGCAGATCAGGAATGATGTGCACCCCATATTTGGCTATTTTGCCAATCATGTCCCAATTCCTATAAATACATCGATGTTTGTCTTCCACTTGGGATTCACCTTGATTCACTTCTAGCTCACCACTAGCAGTTGATTATTTACTACACACCACTGGCAAATCTTGTATGTTGTTCCTGTTATAAATATTATCGTTCCATTTCCAACCTTCATTTTGATTATTCTTATTCAGTCACCTTTCCCTAGGTTACAAGATAAGAGCAGATCAGGACCATGATGTGCACCCCATATTTGGCTATTTTGCCATGTCATATACATCGATGTTGTTTCTTCCACTTGGGATTTCACCTTGATTCACTTCTAGCTCACCACTAGCAGTTGATTATTTACTACACACCACTGGCAAATCTTGTATGTTGTTCCTGTTATAAATATTATCGTTCCATTTCCAACCTTCATTTTGATTATTCTTATTCAGTAACCTTTCCCTAGGTTACAAGATAAGAGCAGATCAGGAATGATGTGCACCCCATATTTGGCTATTTTCATGTCCAATTCCTATAAATACATCGATATACTGTTGTTGTCTTCCACTTGGGATTCACCTTGATTCACTTCTAGCTCACCACTAGCAGTTGATTATTTACTACACACCACTGGCAAATCTTGTATGTTGTTCCTGTTATAAATATTATCGTTCCATTTCCAACCTTCATTTTGATTATTCTTATTCAGTAACCTTTCCCTAGGTTACAAGATAAGAGCAGATCAGGAATTGTGCACCCCATATTTGGCTATTTTGTCCAATTCATAAATCATCGATGTTGTTGTCTTCCACTTGGGATTCACCTTGATTCACTTCTAGCTCACCACTAGCATTGATTATTTACTACACACCACTGGCAAATCTTGTATGTTGTTCCTGTTATAAATATTATCGTTCCATTTCCAACCTTCATTTTGATTATTCTTATTCAGTCAACCTTTCCCTAGGTTACAAGATAAGAGCAGATCAGGAACCATGTGCCACCCCATATTTGGCTATTTTTCCAATCATGTCTCAATCCTATAAATACATCGGTATTGTCTTGTCACTTGGGATTCACCTTGATTCACTTCTAGCTCACCACTAGCAGTTGATTATTTACTACACACCACTGGCAAATCTTGTATGTTGTTCCTGTTATAAATATTATCGTTCCATTTCCAACCTTCATTTTGATTATTCTTATTCAGTCACCTTTCCCTAGGTTACAAGATAAGAGCAGATCAGGAGTGATGTGCACCCCATATTTGGCTATTTTGCCAATCAATATCATCGATGTTGTCTTCCACTTGGGATTCACCTTGATTCACTTCTAGCTCACCACTAGCAGTTGATTATTTACTACACACCACTGGCAAATCTTGTATGTTGTTCCTGTTATAAATATTATCGTTCCATTTCCAACCTTCATTTTGATTATTCTTATTCAGTAACCTTTCCCTAGGTTACAAGATAAGAGCAGATCAGGAGTGATGTTATTTGGCTATTTTGCCAATCATTTGGCTATTTTGCCAATCATATCATATTATCGTTCCATGTTGTCTTCCACTTGGGATTCACCTTGATTCACTTCTAGCTCACCACTAGCAGTTGATTATTTACTACACACCACTGGCAAATCTTGTATGTTGTTCCTGTTATAAATATTATCGTTCCATTTCCAACCTTCATTTTGATTATTCTTATTCAGTCACCTTTCCCTAGGTTACAAGATAAGAGCAGATCAGGAATGTGATGTGCACCCATATCATATTTGGCTATTTTGCCAATTATCATATCATCGATGTTGTTCCTGTTATCTTCCACCAACCTTCATTTTGATTCACCTTTCCCTATTCAAGATAAGAGCTTCTAGCTCACCACTAGCAGTTGATTATTTACTACACACCACTGGCAAATCTTGTATGTTGTTCCTGTTATAAATATTATCGTTCC